TGTGATGTGTGTTTTCTGTCAGCTAAAATTTACAGGAATAGTGAACCACAAGGATTTCCTGAGGAGAAGCTCCCACATGCTGTGTCTGAGGTTTCTCATATTTCTTTTGGCAACAATAACATTCTCCAATACTACAGAATTATAGTTTGAGTCCAGTGCTAATAATTTCTCTTCAAGAAAACAACTTAACTGAAACATTTGTGGTTCTATTTTGCTTGAACCAAGGAAAAAAGTTATAATAGAAAATTACCTATCATCACCTACTCTGCCTTACCCTCCAAAAAATATTCTCTTTCTGAGGCTAACCATCAGCCTAGAATAATATTCACTATATGAGACATAGAGATTTCAGTTTATTTGTTTATAAACCTAATAACCCCAAATCTGTAAATACAGTGGTTAGGGCTCTTGTAATGTTGAGCTTCATCTTGCTGAAAAGAAGAAATACATTATTTTATTTTGGGCAATCACGTTTTAATACAACACGTTTGTTTTTTTACTCTCATTCATGTACAGTGTATGAAAAGCTCATCAATATGGTTTCACGTTCCACATTAAAATTAACTTTTTCAAAACTATCACTTGAGTTTTGTTATAGCTATTTTTGTTAATTCAGTTATCAGAAAAGACTATTAAAATACTCCCTTTCCAACAATATTTATTTACTTGTTTGTTTTAAGTTGGCTCCATGCTGGGCTTAAAGCCCAATATGGGGCTAAAACTCACCACCCTGAGATCAAGACCTGAGCTGATATCAAGAGTCAGATGCTTAACCAACTGAGCTACCCAGGCTCCTTCAACTGCTTACCTGTTTAAGGCTTGATTTTCTTTATATACTTCATCCAGAACAATAAATTGCAACACATTGAATGAAGAAGCGTATAAGAATCCAGCTATCTCCTATTAAGCCAGATAATAAGATTTGCAAAAAAAGTAAAACAGTCCACTTTGGTCAATACATTTTTTTCATTTTGGATTTTTTTTCATTAAAATTGTATTACTTACATTAATATTGTAATGAGTTTATTGTTATTTTTACGTTAATAAACATTTTAATTTTAGTTTTCATTTCCAATATGATAAATGTTGTTAGACATCCACAAAAACTCTTTGGAGCTCTCAATTATTTTTAAGACCTTAAACAGGTTTTGAGACCAAAAAAATCTGCGAACCACTAGTCATGATGTGGTTTTCTGAGATCTGCCAAAGAGTACACAGGTTATTTGGCAATTTCAGAGAAAAAGTGTAATTTTAGCCCCCAAACATTTTTTTAGATTAATAAAATAATAATGTTACCAAAAATCCCTTTGCCTTCTTAAAAATTGCTCATGTGCTACAAGGTCTACTGTGGTCAGTTTCATCTTGGCTCCTGTTCAGTTCATTAACCACAGGATCTTTGTTTTTCATTTATGTGTTATTGTTATCATTGACTAAATTTTAAATTTTATTTTGGCGCAAAAGTGAATGAAGCATAAAAATAGAAATAAAACAGTAAAATAAATGCTACAACTCAGAATACTATCATAAATGTAATGAATAAGAGCTTTAGAGTTCATACAGTCTGAGTTTATATGTGTTAGAAAGTGGTATGATTTGTAGTAGCAGTCCAAAAGAGGAAAGTGCAAATATGAAATACACTAGTGATTGGAGTTACATTCTGTTGGACCTGCAATACTTTCTTTTTTTTTTTTTTTAAAGATTTTATTTATTTATTCATGAGAGACACAGAGAGAGAGAGAGAGAGAGGCAGAGGGAGAAGCAGGCTCCATGCAGGGAGCCCGACATGGGACTCAATCCCGGGTCTCCAGGATCAGGCCCTGGGCTGAAGGCAGCGCCAAACCGCCCAACCACCCGGGCTGCCCTGGACCTGCAATACTTTCATCCCTAGTCTCCAAAGATTATCTACTCTGAAATTTTGTCAAATACTTAGTTATATAAAGCCATGAAACAAGGCACAGTGATAGTCTTGGCAAGCCCGAATTTTCCACAAATGTAAAACAGTGCTTTCTAGGGTGAAAGTGATGAATTCTATCACTAGAGATGGGGAAGAAACCAGAACTACTAAAGCATCATTCATTGTTGCATAGGCTCAAATAGATGTATCTCACACCTTTGACAAGAACGTTGTAAAACCAACCAAAAAGGTAATGAAAAATTTCACATTTGTAGAAAAGGCAGAATAAGGTACTAACAGAATTATACAGTTGGACATTATTGGTATTAGTCAAGGTAAATGATTAATGCTGTTTTTGCAAAGTTGTTATAAGCAGGTGTTCAGTTTATGGTGTTCCCGACTGAATATGCATATGTATGCTTGTAGTGGATGTGCAGTATCTGTGTATACACACACACACACACACACACACACACACACACGGAACACAGTATTCATTGTTTCTCTTCTGTCTAATCTTGTAAAACTATGTTACAAGCAATCCAGTTTTGTTATTTTGTGAGCTGTGACATAAACTGGAAAAGGAAGGGACTTTGGGTTCAGTGCTGACACAGCATCAGCTAAGTGTGTAGCAAGAAAGGTATTAGAATTTGAATGAAAAGAAGTTTGGCCCCATCCCTACCCCCCAAGCCTCCTGCCAGAGAACAAGTGGCAATCAAGAGTATGCCTCAAGATAACTACTGAGCATTTAGTTAGAACAGAAGTCAGCAAACTAGCTGTTTGGATCAGATTTGTTCTCCGTTCCCCACCTATTTTTCTGCTACTGGTGAATAAAGAGTGGACTTTACATTTTTAAGTAGTTTGGGAAAATATCAAAAGAATGGTATTTTGTGACACATGGAAATTATAAGAAGTTCAGTATTTCCATAAATAAAGTTTTATTGGAGCATAATTACACTCATTGGTTTATGTATTGTTGTGGCTACTTTTACACTACAGCAGCAGGATTGGTTAGTTACAATAGAGACCATATAGCCTGTAAAGTGTGAAATATTTACTGTGTGGCCTTTTACAGAAAAACTTTGGCAACCCTAGAATTAGAGTAACTCCACTTTGATCCATCGTATTTATTGTTCTTCCCCATGGGAGTTCACTTGAAGAAAGGGTTCTACTGCCTTAAAAGCAAGTTTTTTTTTTTTTCTAAGTATGTAAACTTTTCAAAAGGTCAGCCCAACCGAACAAGCATTCTTGTGCTTTTGCCACTCTGGAGACAGCAGGGTGGAGTTCACAACTCATTTTAGAAATGCTTGAGTAATTCAAGGCAATATTTGAAGCTACATTATGGTTGATATAAAGATTAACCATTTATGCTACCAGAGATTTGTCTGGTAGAGAGATAAGAAACATAATCCTTCTTTTATTATCATTTTTTGCATATTTTTCTCAAAAGAGCATTAAACATCACTTTAAAAAGGAAGCGTTTTACTTGTCTTTTATTTTCTGGAATTGATACCCAGCAAATTGCTACCAGTACAAGCAAATTCCCACTATTCCTCATTTTCCCAAACTCAGGGATATAGTCCCTAGAAATATCACTCTAAATTTAACTGCCTCCCCTTTGTTTCCATAGCATCTGATATAATCCTGTAATTATTGATTTGCTTGATGTTTCTATACTAAACCATAAGGAAGTTTCCCTGTCTTCCTCTGTAGATGCAGGAGGAACTATTTGTTATTTTAGATGGTGTAGTATAATATTACAGAGTGTTGGCTTTGGAGTCAGACCTATCCTGCTTTCTGTATCTCAGTGAATCTGTTTCATCTTCTATGCAATGGAAATTAGCAATAGTAATGATAGTAATGATCATAATACTTTTTAGAATTTGTTGTGAACCTTAAATGAAATGATGCAAGTAGAATGCTTAGGTAAGCCTTTGCCATATGGTACTATGTTAGTTGTGTTGCTGTTTTGGTGGTGGTTGTTATTGTATCTCTATTACCTAACATAAGGTCTTTTTTAAAGTATTAAATATTTTTGTTGAATGGAGTCAAGGTTTATTTTTAAACATATCACCAACTTTGTGCTTTAGAGAAGACTGAAAGTTAAAATTAAACCTTGATTTTTATCCAGAAAATTGTCCCATAGATTTTTTTCATCCAACAGATGCTGATGTATCTGATGGAATTTAAGCTTTTTGTTTTTGTTTTTTTGTTTGGACTGGTCTGTTCCAAACCTGTGCCCTTTCCACCTGGCTTATATAAAGTTGAAGTATAAATTGAGTGATTACTATGGGCCAGGTACTGTTCTAAGTGCTTTGTATTTACTTAGTCCTTATAAGAACCATATGAACTAGGTATTATTATTATTATTCCTATTTTAGGGTGAGACAGCTGAAACACAGGATTATAAACTGTCATAAGATAGCCAGTAAGAAGCATAGTTAGGATTTGAATCTATAGTCTGGCTCCAGAGTTTTTGTTCTTAACCACCATGTTCTACTGCTTTTATTAGTCACAGAGTCTCTTGTTTGCCATATGGTTGTATTTAAGAAACAGCTTATTTTGGGTAACTTCTTGGAGTTTTAAGTTTGTTTACAGTGTTGAGCATGTGGTAGATAATACATATTTGTGCTTGAATGAATTAATGACTGATGGTATGATAAAATTATAATTAATGTAATATAATCATTGCTTAATTCTTGGCTTCAAGTAATCATGTCTTTTCACTGTAGGCCCTCTTAGGAGCTATCTATAACAAGGACTTGGCTATTTTGAAGCCATCTACTCTAATACTACAAATATTTGGGCAAAGAAATTGCTTAACAAATCTATTTATATTCCTAAATTCATTTTTTCTTGCTGGTACCCACTCAGAAAAATCTGTGTTTAGAGCTTTTCCTTTTTTGGGTCCCTCTGTTGAATTGTTTGTAAATTGTTTAAAAAATGTTAGATGGCATTGTGACAGACAATTCACTTTTTAACAGATGAAGCTTTAAAGAATTTGGGCATACTGGTCATGATAGTGAAGTCTGGTATTAAACTTGTCCTCTAAAACTTTTGACAGTAACCATCTTAAAGTTTGCTTTATTTTATATATCTCTTTCAGAATTCTCCACTTTACCAGTACTTACAGGATCTGGGACACACAGACTTTGAAATATGTTCTCCTCTGTCACCAAAACCAGAAAAAAGCACAGTGACAGAGGGACAACAAAAGCTTCCTGCAAGAGCCCTGCCAAAGGTAAGAAAGCACGTTCAATCTCTATGATTAATCTGGTTTTTTTTTTAAAGATTTTATTTATTTATTCATGAAAGACACAGAGAAAGAGGCAGAATCATAGGCAGAGGGAGAAGCAGGCTTCTCACAGGGAACCCAATGCTGGACTCAATCCCTGGACCCTGGGATCACGCCCTGAACAAAAGGCAGATGCTCAACCTCTGAGCCAAGCAACGTCCCGTCCCTATGATTAATCTTTTATTCTTCACCTCACTGATTATTTAAACTGCCTTTGCCCTTATTCTTGCAAAGAAACAAAACAAAAAAAAAAACAAAAAAAAAACATCTTAAAAGCACCTCCGTGTCTTCCCCAACACCGGTAAGACTTTATTTTTTATTTCATCAGTACAAAACTGTTTAGATAAATATAACTCCTTGCTGTTTTGGACTATCTCAATAATTTCTATAATGAAATTAAAGTGGTTGAGGATTAAAATATATCATTTCTTTAAAATACTGAAGTTGTTTGGAAGGAAACCAGAAAAATATACTAAAACCTTAAAGAGAACTCGACCTTTAGGACTTTTGTATTAATTGGAATTCTTTCTTTATGTATTATTTTTTAAAAGAGAGCACAAGTTGTAAGAAAGCAGATTGATAACATATTTCGTAAGCAAGGATATGTGATGGAGTGGGTATATTTACCTCAATTTGTGATGCCCTTTATAACTCCACAGAATCCTTTTATGTAATAAATATCTCAGTTGATGTATAAAATTGTAAGGCTGAGATACGGGAAGAATCTCCAATTATGTTCTATAAAATTCATTTACTAGATTCATTTATGTTCTATTAGCCATACTTAATAAAATTAAAAAATATTCTAGTACATTTCAGTTTTAACAAAAGGAATTCTAATTTAATAGAAAAAATAAACCAGATTACCTCATTTTTTTTTAATTTTTTATTTACAACAGTCACAGAGAGAGAGAGGCAGAGACATAGGCAGAGGGAGAAGCAGGCTCCATGCACCGGGAGCCCGACGTGGGATTCGATCCCGGGTCTCCAGGATCGCGCCCTGAGCCAAAGGCAGGCGCCAAACCGCTGCGCCACCCAGGGATCCCAGATTACCTCATTTCTTGAACATTCTAGTTTAATCAGTGTTTTATTATAAGATATCATTATTTTTGGGAGGAGGCTTTTTAAAGTTTTCAATTAGTTATTTACTCTGTGGTAATAGAGAAGGAAGTCTTTTTTTCTCCTGTTCTTAGAAAAACCTCTAAAATGTGAGGTAACCAGGCTGGGGGGCCATTTGCAAGAGTAGAAAAAATACCAGAGAAATGTTTTTTTGACTGATGCTTCCAGGATAGGATTTAGAGAGTTAGAGCTCACATGGATCAGAACCAATTTGCTAGTCCTCTGGACTTAAACTCTTTCTCTTTCTTCTCTCTGCCCCTTTCAAATGTGATTATTCCTGGGAAGTGTTTTGAAAGCAAAACCAAAGGATATAGCTAATAGGTTATTTATAGATTAAAACTTGGATTTGAGATTACTTGGCACCAGAAGACAAGAATGGACCATGGGATAGTCTTAGGCAGGATATAGGCATTGGCCTTTTTTGTTGTTGTTGTTCAAACTTGGACTTTACAGGTATTTAATCCTTTTCATTTATGATAGGTATTTTTACATATAGAAGTGTTATTAATTTATAAGTAACTAAAATGAGAGTTTAAAATTTGCTAGTCCTCAGAAATTAAAAAATACCCAGAGAATGCTTTCAAAATTACCACATCTAGAAAGTTCCTTTAGTTTTCATATTACATATTTCAACTGTATGAGCTATATTTTTCTAAAATGGAGTTTTTCTAAATCTGGGACAGCTAAATTTTAGAAAGATTTATTGCATTATTTAGTTCCTTCTCAAGGGATATATTTTTAGAATTGCCCCCAAAGTTCTGTTCAAGCAGTGAAGTACCAGTTATTTTCTTTGGAAAGCAAATTTTTTTGTATAATATGAGATCATGATAAAACTTGTTAGCCTTAATCACTCCTTTTTAACTTTTACTTTTTAATGTTATCATGATATACTCTTACTGGTATTCTCACTATGAATATTCATTCTCTGTATATTTTTTCTAGTTTTCCTGTGATTATTCATAAATGTTCTTTTCATAAAGTTTTAACATTAGGCCTCTTCTCTGCTTGGTCAGTTTTTCTGAGTGATCTCCTCTTCTTTCTTGCCCTCATTGACCACTTATGTGTGTTCTCTGTCTTCACTGAAAGCTAGATGTTTGTTAAACATTTTCACCTGGCCTGTGCCCCAGGAAACAGATTCATATATGTAAAACAAACAAAATATTCTTCCCATGTTCCCAAATTACCACTCTTTCAGTTAACTTAAGATTTCCTATTACTCCCAAATTAATTTGGTCTCTAAATGATATATCAAGTGAACTTCTTATGTCTTGAAAATCCAACCCTTATCCTTTACCATTTTTTTGCTATCCTACTTAAGGCCTTTGTCAGTATTTAGCTGGACTATTAAATATTCTCCTAATCATGCTTCTTGGCTACAGTCATTTCCTGCCAGTACTGCCTCTGCACTGTAGCCAGTTATTTTTCTGAAATGCTGATTTTTATTGTTTCATTTCCTTGCTAAAAATCTTTGATAGGGGATCCCTGGGTGGCTCAGTGGTTTGGCGCCTGCCTTCGGCCCAGGGCGTGATCCTGGGGTCCCGGGATCGAGTCCCACATCGGGCTCCCTGCATGGAGCCTGCTTCTCCCTCTGCCTGTGTCTGCCCCTCTCTCTGTGTGTGTATCTCATGAATAAATAAATAAAATATTTTTTAAAAAAATCTTTGATAGCTCCTCACAATCTACAGGATAAAGTCTATAAACTATTAGGGCATGTAAGACCAAAGCCCTTTATAACCCCTCTCAGTGATCATGACTATTCCCTTTTTCCTTTGGGTCTTAGCCTGTCCCAGTTTATGCCACCATACCCATGACATGTGCTTCCATGGCTGTCCCCTTTATTCATCCTGTTCTCTTACCCAGAATTTTCCTTCCTCCTTTGTTAAATTCCTGCTCATCTTTTAGGGCATAGCTTCAGTGTTAGCACCTCTTGACCTCTTTTCCTACATTTTCTCAGACCTTAAATTGGTTTGTAATTATTTATACCATGTCTTCTATACTAAGTTCTTAAAAACAGCAGTTAGGTATAGTCATCTTTGTTCCTATGACCCTTTTTCTGTACCAGGGATATAGTAATCACTCAACAAACATAAACTTCATTTACTAGCATATACAGGAAATGGCTATTAACATTAAGGTAAATTGAATTTTTGGCTGACTAAAAATATAACTTTTATTCAGTATGAGATACTTTTTCTAAAATTGATTAAAATATCTTTCTGCCATAGATAGCATTGTGGAATGAAATGTTCTTGGTATTTGAGAACTGGGTGCATCGTTTGGTTTTCATTTTGAAATACTTACTGTCATCATTTTGACATATTCAAGGTAAATGAGCTGCATCAGGATGACTTCTGAGTGTTCTTTAAAAAATCTACTTTCAGGTCTCATTTCAAACTTACTGAGTCTGAACCTTTAGTCTGGGGACCCAAGAGTTATATTTCTAACTGAAATCTCTAGGTGATTCTGATGTGCAAGTAAATGTAGGAACTATTAAGAAGCCTGAGACATAGTGACAAACGATATAACCTAGATGATTTCTTTTCTCCCTTTTTCTAATAAAAATTCTGATTGATTAGAAGTAAGTTATTTGAAGTATTTCTGCTGTTTGGATATGTTTAATAAATCCTATACTATGTCATTCATCTCCTTCAGCAAGGCATCCTGTTAAAAGTGGCTGAAACCATCAAAAGTTGGATTTTTTCTCAGTACAATAAGAAAGATGACTTACTTCACAAGTTGGTAAGTGTTTGCTCTACTTCTTTGTCAGTTTTCTGAGCTCCGGTTTATTAGTGACAGAATCTAATGAATCAGAATGTTTTGCTACTGATTTGGGCAGTGATTGATTCTAAATAGAAATTCTGAAAGGAGAATAAAATCTCTGAAGGAAGACTACCTGCCTTATTAAGTGTTAATAAAGTTTGTTGGTGTCACCTTAAAAAAAGAAAAAAGAAAAAAAAAACACCAAGAATTTCTTCAGTAGTTGTGGATTTTTGAATTTGGATTTATTAGTATTATTTCATAGTTCTTTCAAGAGGCTATTAGCTATTTAGAATAGAATATTCTGGTAGTTATTAATACCTTATTTGTTAGATTATTAATTTCCTGCTGCTATCTTTCTCCATTGACAAGTATTCCTCTCAATAGGGAAAGGAATATATCTATTAGTGAGATCTTCTCCCATTTCATTAGGAGCCTGTCTTTTCCTTATCCCACAGTCTGTGATTACAAAGTTTGGACAAAATCAAAGTGGTTCCCCCTCTAATTTATTTATCATTAATTTATCATTTTCTGACAACTTCATATGTAAAATTTAGTCTCCTGAGACTACTAATCACAGAATTTCCCAAAGACTTGGATTTGTGTCCATTGAGAGTCTTTGTTTTCCTGGGAGACTTGCTTTTTTTCCCTTTTTTCCTTACTCTCTACTGTAATAGATCTAGAGTTTGACCTCTGACCCTCAAGGGGGAGTGCTTCAACTTTGTACATCCTAAGCAATGCAAAATCCAAATAGTATAGCTAAAAAAATCAAAGTTAGGAAGTTCTCATGGCTCTCAGAAGGAATAATCAAGTTACAAGAAAGCATATTTCAGGATCCTTTGCTGGTCTGTGACCTTAAGATGATGATAATTATCATTCTTGTAAATTATCATTTGTAAAGAGATGTTTACAAAGTGCTTTCACATTTTGATTTGGTAATCTAAACACTGTAAGGTTTAGTGCAGTTTACCAGTTGGAAAACCTGAGATTCAGATAGTTTGGTTTAAGATTACTTATTAAGTGAATTGTTCAAGAACGGTTAGGTAGAAAGTGGTAGTTAGAATTTGAACTTAGGTCTCCTGTTTCAAAGCCCAGGCTCTCCATTATAACATACCACTCTCTAGCTTGAGTATTATTATGTATTGACTGACTAAAATTACTTTTTTAGCAATCCAAACGGGCAAGTTCTCTGTTCAGGGTTTCATCTTTGTAGGTATGTTGAGAAGGTCAATGAAGTGTCTTGTCACCTACGTAGAATATCATCTCTATCCAGGTGGAGCCATCCTCATCCTTCAGTGATACTAGGACTGTGGTAAGGTATATGGATCCATATACATTTTTCTATGGTTTAATCATAGTCTACATAGTCCTGATCTTTTCATTCTTGGTTCTTTGTCACTGGCTGTACATTTCACTGTAAAGCTCCAGCTTCTATATGCATTTCTTTTGTGCCTGTATTATAGAGAACTGTAAGAAGTACGTACCAAAGAAATCATTTACTAGTAATGGAACAAGGAATTACCCTGTTGGCTTCTGGCATGAGATGCTTGACTTTTCTCTCAGCCATGACATATTTAAATTTTTTTTGGCTATACAGATACTGAACCATTCCCTCTTTCCTTTTATAAAAATACTGGCAGTTGTTCCATGATAGCTGAACCTTTTGCCATTGTTCCTTTTTATTAAAGTAGTACTTCTTAAAGATTAAAAAAAAAAGTTCTTTTATAACAATTGTAATGGTAGTGGTATTTGCACTTTTTAAGCACTTTTTAGCCTGTAAAGTGCTTTCACACATGTTATCTCATTTGATCTTCATCAGCTTTATGAAACAGCACAATACTTTTAAAAATATACAAGATCGTTGAAATATATTGATGCATGAATAGTTCCCTTCTCTATCTCTAGGGGTAAAAACAAATCTCTCTCTTCTTTAGCTGTGCTTCTCATACCCTTTCATTCTATACAGGCAGAAATCTTTTGAGTTACCTTCTCATACCATTTTTCCATTTAGATCCTTAAAAGTTCCTGTTACCCATCAAATCGAGTCTAGTTCATCACTTCAGCATGAAAAAGTCTGCATAATTTGGCCCTGAACTACCTTTCCAGCCTTTATCCACCATGTTTTCATCAGCCAACCCAGTCTTCTTTTTCTTTTATTCCATACTTATTCTGTATGTCTGTTTTTGTGCCATTATATTGTGGTAGAATTCTTTCCATTTTTCCTCTTTTATTGCAGTCTTTTTCTAAGTAGTCCTAGCTCTTCCTCAAGGCCTTTCCTACAAACTTCAGCCTATTGGATCCTTATTTTCTTTAGAAATATAGTAATAATTATCCATGCCATGTTTTATAGGTTTTTGTATGGTGGGTGCTTTTCTTTATTGTATTTTAATTATTTTATGTGTACTACCAACATTAACAGCCAACACTTACATAGTACTGACTACATAAATGCTCACTGTGCACCACTTAATATTTTATGAATATTGACTTAATTCTCACAACAACCCTATGAAGTAGCTACTATTCTTAGGTTCATTTTGCAGATGAGGAAACGGAAGCAGAGAATTAAGATGTGGAACCAGGATATAAACCTAGGTACTAACTAGGTCTTGGTACTCATATGTTGAGGGTGAGCCAAAGTTCACGTGGTATGCCTCCCCACAGCATACAGCACCCAATCATACAGATGATACAAATATTTAGTCAATCAGAATTAGTACCTTTTAAAGGTCTTCATTTATTTGAGAATTGGACCTGAGTCCAAATAGGATTATTATGAGGTGTTTCTTTTTTTTTTTTTTTTTTAAGATTTTATTTATTTATTCATGAGAGACACAGAGAGAAAGAGAGGGAGAGGGAGAAGCAGGCTCCATGCACGGAGACTGATGTGGGACTCGATCCCAGGTCTCCAGGATCATTCCCTGGTCTGAAGGCAGTACTAACCCGCTGAGCCACCCAGACTACCCGGGAGATGTTTCTTAATATAACAGGTATCTATTTCCCCACTACTTTGATTGCAATATTGCAACAACCTCTCTCTTTAATGCAGTTCTCATTTTTATAATTAAGGAGTAACATACAGTTTTATAATTTATCCTTAAGAAAAAAATTATCAATTTAATCTGATTTCATTTTATGATCAGAATATAGTCCAAGTTCTTCCTTTGTAGAGGCAGTCTAGTACTAGATAACACTGCTTTAGTTATTTAGAGTGTCTTGGTCACTTTCAAGTTTATTTGTATGTTTAGGTGATTTTAGGTAGTGAGTCACATTCTAGAATCACATATTCCTAGAGCTATTAGTACTGCCTCAGAGCAGAATAGTTTTGAGGAAACAGCCCACTTTTGCAGACAGGTCTGATGCCAAGGATGATATTAAAGAAAATGTGTACCTCATTAAGCAACATATCTATACAAGGAACTATGAAGAGCGAAAGCTCCCCTTTATGTTAATAGCTTTCCCCCTATCTCTGAGCTATAGCCTTCCTTTAGTGAAGCTTCTTTAAACTTCCCATATATAGGTGCATAGAGGTCTCATAAAAGGTACAATTTAAAGCTTTTATAGCAAAAATTTAATTTTTAATACTTAATATTTTAATATCACTGTGGGGGGGATCCAAGTCAAATAATAAGGCCAATGTGTGGAAATTTATTTCAAAGATTACTTGAAAAGCTGCCGTGATCCTCCTTTCACCCCTTCTCCAACAGTGGTATAAAGTGAATTGTGCTATTCTGTTTATGAAAGTGGGGTAGAGGGTCAAATAATTGGTTCCTAATGTTAGAATCATGATTTTTTTAAGGTTTATTTATTTTGGAGAGAGAGTGAGAGTGAGCTGAAAGAGGAACAGAGCGGGAGGTAGAGAGAGAATCCCAAGCAGACTCCATGCTGAACATGGGACCCAATATTGGGCTCAGTCTCATGACCCTGAGATCATGACCTGAGTCAAAATCAAGAGTCGGATACTTAACTGACCAAGCCACCAGGTGACCCTAGAATCATGATTCTAAAAGAGAAAAGAGGCACATGAAAAGATGCTCAGCATCCTTAATCAGGGAAATGCAAGTCAATACTACAATGAGGTATCACCTTACACCTGTCAGAATGGCTAGTATCAAAAAGACAAAAAATAACAAATGTTCCAAGGATGTGGGGGAAAAGGAACCCTCATGTAATGTTGGAGAGAATGTAAATTGGTGTAGCCACCATGAAAAACAGTATGAAAGCTCCTCAAAAAATTAGAAATACACATGTAATCTAGTAATTCCACTATTTGACTATTTACTCAAAGAAAATAAAAACACTGATTCAGAAAGATAAATGTACCCCTATGTTTTTTGGAGCATTAGTTACAATAGCCAAGATAGGGAATCAACCTAAGTATCCAATAGATGAATGGATAAAGAAGAATGGTAGATATATTCAATGAATATTACTCAGCCTTAAAAAAAGAAAGAATGAATTCTTGCCATTTGCAACAATATGCATGGACTTAGAAGGTATTATACTAAATAAAATAAGTCAGACAAATACTGTATGATTTTACACATATGTAGAATCTAAAAACCAAAACAGACAAAAAAGCAGAAATAGACCCAAAAGTACAGAAAACAAACATGGTTGCCAGAGGGGTGAGGGATAGAAGGATGGGCAAAATGAGTGAAAGAGAGTGGGAGCTTCAGGCCTCCAATTATAAAATGAATAAGTCACAGGGATAAAAGGCATAACAGAGGGAATTTAGTCACTGGTACTATAATAGTGTTGTATGGTGACAGATGGTAGCTACACTTGTGGTGAGCTTAGCATAATGTATAGAGTTGTCAAATCACTGTGTTGTACACCTGAAATTAATATAACATTGTGCGATAACTACAAAAAAAAGAAAGAAAGAAAGGAAAGGGAAGGGAAAAAAGAAAGAAGAGAGAAGAGGCAGTGGTTTAAAGATGAAAGAAAAATGTTGCACAGGTGCATGCAGGGTGTGTCAGTAGATGGTAAAAAAAAAAAAGTCCTACCAGGAAGACCAGCATTCCAAGAAGATGTTCTTGTTTTAGATAATTGAAAATCAATAAAGGGATGCCTGGCAGACTCAGTCAGTAGATCATGTGACTCTTGATCTTGGGGTTGTGAGTTCAAGCCCCACTTTGGGCAGAGAGTTTTCTTTAAAAAAAAAAAAAAAGAAAGAAAATCAATAAATATGACCATATAGGACTAATATTAATTAAAAATATTCTCCTCAGGGCGCTGGATAGCTCTGTTCGGTTAAGCGTCTGCCTTCAGCTCAGGTCATGATCCAAAAGTCTTGGGATCAAGCCCTGCATCGGGCACCCTGCTCAGCAGGGAACCTGCCTCTCCTTCTGCCTGCCATTCTCTCTCTCTCTCTCTCTCAAAAAATAAATAAAATCTTTAAAAAAAAATTCTTTCTTCTCCTTCTCCAGAAGTGATGTATAACGCACAATTGAGAGGACGTGCACTCATAGTTAGGTATATGGATCACTGCGTTCTTATTAAGTCCCCATTATGGTCAACTTAGGCAGGATAGGTTGGCTCCTGTGTGGGAATGATTAACTGGCTAAGAAGAACAAATCCATTGCCTTCAAACCCTAGTTTTACTTTAATAGCTAAAGGCCTTGTCATTAAAAGATCTCTTTATTTTTATCTTATAATAGGACCATTCTATTCCTAAATTTAATACATAATAAAACTTCATATTTTTCATGCAGCAGACTCCATTTAGAGAACTATAACTGATTACCAAAGATTTAGGATCTGAAATTAGAATTCTGGAAAGTTACTTATTCTCTGTGGGCTTCAGTTTTCTCCTCTATAGAACATAGAGGAGGATGGAAATGTACATTGTGGAGTTTTTGTGAAAGTTCACCTGTGTAACATTGCTACTTTACCTCTCACCTTTTTTTTTGTTTGTTTGTTTAGCTATTTATTTAACCTCTACACTCAACATGTGGCTCAAACTTGTAACCCTAAGATCAAGAGTTGGATTCTCCTCCTCCCTAGCCAGCCAGGCACCCTTCATCTTTCACCTTTTTACCATGTACACTCTATGTAAAACTGAAAGGCATGACTTGGCTTTTGTTCTTCCCATCCCCCTCTTCCAACTCTTTGATCTGGTCAGTTCTTGTTCATGCTCTAAGACTGAGCTCAGGCATCACCTCTTTTCCTTTCTCCAACTTCATTGCAAGTTTTGGTTCCTCTGTGCCATTTTCATAATACCCCAGCATACATACACGTTATTGCACTCTTTGCTCATTATGTTGTAACTGTTTACTTTTTAGTCCTCTTCATTAAATTGTGAATTCTTTAAGAGTAGAGACTTGTATGTTATGCTCATTTTTTGTGCCCTTGATATCAAGTATGGTTCCTGGTATATATAATTTTTTTAATAGAAGCAAAAGAGGAAGGAATAAATGAGCTAGTGTATGTGAAAGCATTTTGTAAACTATAAAGTGCTATGCACATGTTAGTGTCGTTTTGCATTACATTCCTTAATGTTGTGTTTTTAATATCCAAAGTCTGTTTTTAGGTCTGGATCCTGCTGACCTACTTTATTGGCCATATTCTTAGAGTATCCAGGGACAGCATCTTATGTTACAGGATTATAGTTTCCATGCTCTGTTCCAGCAATTTAATTAATTAGGCTTAACTAGACAGGTTTATTAGTCTATAGTTACTTCACATTTTTTTATTAAAAGTTTATAATTCACATCTGGTGGCTCAGTAACATCCATCTCAATCTTTGCTTCACATTTACAGTGAAACTAAAATCCCATACATCATACTAAAGATAGATTGATTGGACTGTTGTATCTTCTTCTTGGAGGCTATACTGAAAATAAATTCTCTAAATTTTGTTAGCATATTAGGAGCTTAGCCTTTAATACAAAATTATGTATGTAATAATGCCTCTCTTCCGGTTTTTTAATGGCAAGGATATTGGATTCCGACTCGACTCACTACATACCATCCTGCAACAGGAAGTCCTGTTACAAGAGGATGTGGAACTGATTGAGCTACTTGATCCCAGTATCCTGTCTGCAGGGCAACCTCAACAACAGGAAAATGGACACCTTCCAACGCTTTGCTCCTTGGCAACCCCTAATATTTGGTACTGTCCAGAAATCATCTATCTTTTGCTTATGTATATGGTATTAGGAGAGGAAATCCATCATCATATTCTCTATTGTGAAGACATAAACATTCCATACATTTTAACATAGTAATTAATGTAATAATACCAAAGAGGCTTTTTTTTTTAAATACCTTTCCAAAATAAATACTATTTAAAGTGAAGCTGGAAAAAAATCCTATTGTTACATATTTTAATTCAATATAATTAGTTCTGTGTTTAATAACCCACGAGCAGGCATAACATTGCCCCAAGAATCTCTCTTACCCATATACCTGTACACATGTGTGCGTGCATTCCTAGCCAATTCTTCATATGTTTATATCATAAACACATTATAGAAATATCAAAAATAGGACGGGACATGAGGTAAACAGTCAATTCTTGATTTGTTGGCAAGAAGCTGTAGAGAATAGACTGACAATTCAGTCCTTAAAACTTTTTGACTACTTGAAGTATTTGGGTCTAATTGCAGAAATCCCAGGCCATAATTTTAGAAAGAATAGCAAAAAGGAGTTAAATATAAAGAACTGTTCATGTCTCTTCCTATTAAAGTATGGGTTTATTAAGTGAACAAAATCATTGCTTGAACTATTCAAGTTATCCAAGCAATGTTTATGTATCCAATACATAACATTGGCCTCAGTGTTCTGAATTTATGTCTTCCCTGTCATGCTGACAAATGTTTCATACTGTAATAGGTAGCAAGGTATGTCTTCTAAATCTGTAGCACTCAGCATCATGATGAAGTAAAGTATCTTATCCTTTACAAATATAAGAATGCAAGGGGCTGCTACAAGGAACCAGGGTTTTAAGAATTTTACAGCTTTAACTTTCAAGTTTCCTTTAGCCATGATGTGATTAAGCAACCTTCAGGCCTGTAAATACTTTTAGATTTTGCTGTTAATACATAAAAGTATATGATGAGATTTTGCTTTGATATTATCAGTACCATCTGAAAGTTAAAGGATTCCAAAAGAAATTAGGGCAGGTAAATATTTATTAAGAAGCATTCTTAAAAAAAAAAAAAAAAGAAGAAGAAGAAGAAGAAGAAGAAGCATTCTTACATGTGACTTTCTTTATAATGATTATTATAACTATCTTTAAGTGTTTTTTTAGATATCCTCAGATACATCTCCCTATATTCACCTCTTTCTTGTATACCTTTTTACCAAAGTCTTCATTGCCTAAAAGATGTATTTTAGTCTGTAGATTTCTAATTGACCTAGAGAAAAAAAATTCATATATATTTTTACTTAATTTAAAGCAATGTAGGGGATCCCTGGGTAGTAGCTCAGCAGTTTAGTGCCTGCCTTTGGCCCAGGGTATGATCCTGGAGTCGCAGAATTCAGTCCCACATCAGACTCCCTGCATGGAGCCTGCTTCTCCCTCTGCCTGTGTCTCTGCCTCTCACTCTGTCTCTCATGAATAAATACAAAAAATCTTTTAAATATCAATCAATAAATAAAGCAGTGTAAAAGTAAAAGTTTGTGCATATTATGGGCTGCAATAAGTATGTATATTCCAGATTTATGATAGTGATTATTTAAAATTAGATGACTTAAATGAAACAGTTACTTAAGTATATATTATTTCTATTGGAAAAATACTTATATTTTCTTGAGATATTTGTTTCTGTGCAAGTAATTAGTGTCTGATTTGGGAAAAGAACTCCTAATAATTACTTATTAAATAATGACTTATTAAAATGTATTTTAATATTAAAAATTAGTAAAAATTGTTTTTCTTTTAAATTTTAAAGTTGGATTTTAAACTCTATACTTTGTTTTTAGGTTAGAGGAGTCCATATCTTTAAAAAAAAAAAAAGTCATTTCAGAAGACATCTATTACCTAAACTTAGCTCAGAATTTAATACCTAAGCACCATTATTTAGTTGCTAGATTTTTTTTAACTATTTCACATTACTTGTTTAAATATCATAGTTTTTAAGTTTTACTTTACAAAGAAGCTAGCATTTTATCTATTTTAGTAAACCTAAATTGCTGATTAAAGTAATACATCTTTCTCTGGTCTGATGAATATCATTTTCTCGGTTTCTTTGTTGTAGGGATGTCTCAGTGTTGTTTGCCTTCATTAGTTTGCTCATTATGCTTCCCACTTGGTGGATTGTATCTTCCTGGCTGGTATGGGGAATGATTCTATTTATTTTTCTGATCATAAGAGCTTTGAGATTATGGAGGACAGCCAAACTACAAGTAACTCTAAAAAAATACCATGTCCATTTAGAAGATACAGCAACAAATAGCCGAGCTTTTACTAACCTTGTGAGAAAAGCTTTACGTCTCATTCAAGAAACTGAAGTCATTTCCCGAGGATTTACACTGTGAGTTCATTCTTCATTTTATTTTTAAAATAATCTTTTTCTATTCCCTAAATTAGAATTTTATTACCTATTTTCATTTCTGTGTTGCATTTTTTTAAAAAGTAGGTTCCTCTTAGGCACTTACTAAAGTCTATTAACTGTGAAGGAATAAATACATTATATGCTGGATTTAATATGTAGTATGATTCTGCTTATCTACTTTGAGAAACCAAAGAGCCTTGAGAATTATGATTATTTCTGTGTTATCATGTGATTATTTTATGAAATAATGTAGAGAGAGTGCCTCACATTGAACCTAGCATGCAAAATTACCCAACAAATCTTTGTTTCCTTTACTCTCTGCCAGATGCTCTCTTTCCTCAGTTTAAATAATAGATGTATCGGACTTGAATTCATTCTGAAAAATTTTGACATGCATTAAGGATATTCCTTAGTAAATGTTAGCAGATATTTTGGCACTAATACTCTCAGAATATCAGACAAATAATGATGTTTCACCTTCTCACAGGAGGTTAAATATTCTAGTCTAGTCATAATTAAATATTAAGCTACCAGATATATAGGGTATTTATTAAAAGGGTAGTTATATTTATTTATTGAGTACTATTTATGTTCCAAATACTGTGTTAGGTAATTTTACATATAACTAAAAGCATACAATTACATGTGGGAGAGCAAATGTTCAGATCTATTCCACCTGACTCTGGAGCTTGTTTCCAGTCCACTAGGCTACCTACTAACCACTAACAAATGACAGTTGTACTGTACTATATAATGATTTATTTAACTCCTATAACCTTTGCAATATGTAGGTGGGAGAAAGTAAGTATATGGTGAAGAATAATTATTACTCTTAATTTTACTAATACCTGGAAAATCACATAAAGGGAGCACAGAAGAACCGTGGGTAGTCAACTCGTTCTTCACTTTGCCATGCTCTAGAATAACACTTAAACAGTACTGACGGGAAAACTGTCTATGGAAAATCATGACCCAGGGAAGTAGAAGAATCTCCAGTAGTCATCTTCTTCACTCTGTTGCGTTCTAGAACAGTATTTAAACAATGCCAAGCCATGAGGGAGATTTTGTGATTTCCCTTTCTGCTTAATTCAAAATGTAATAGTTCTCTGTTAATTTTTGTCCTTCTATTGTAGTTAAAGTCTGTTTGTTGGTAGAGCATAGCAAATATTAAGTCGTTTGAGCATCTTGATTTTAAAAGTTAAAAATAGCTCCTTTTCATTCTTGATTTGCACAGTATTTCATTGAGAAGATTGGTTAAGCAGAGTGGCTAGGTGTCCAGTTAATGTTTAGGCATGTATAGGGGATTTTGTGCTTTTTGTCATTTTCCAACTTACATTAGAGAATTATGTATAGAATTGGCACAAAGAGCTAAAATAGGCCAGCTAGACAGGACTTACCACTAGATTACAACTTTGTTGACGTGCAGTCAGACAAAAGAAATGTTGGAAAAAATTGTTTCACTTATCTCCATCTAACTGGATAATGGATTGAGAAAAAATTATGAAGGATAATGAATCTTGAACCATAACGCTTTTAGAAATATTGTCATCTTTACAACTGATTTATTAGTAAAATGAAACTCAATAATAGTACCATATATTGAAAACATGTGTTTTGTTCTGCCTCGATTTGTCCTCTCTAGCAAGGAATTTAACCATTCTTTGTCTCATTTTGTTAATGTCTGAATGTATTTTAGTTTGGTTTAATATTTTAAGAGTTTTGAGTTAGATAATCTTGTTTTGAAAATTTGTGGTTATAGTATAAGAAATTTATAAATTTCAATATTTTGTTTTGCTACTAGGAGAGGTTACTGGTTAGGTGAAAAAACTATTATCTGATAGCTTTGTAATATGTAATTATTTTTTGTCTCATTAATAAAAGGATGATATTATATATCATTGTTGCAATAGGTACTCCCCTTTTATCTTTTGGAAAGTGCTATAAAAATGCATCTTCTTGAATAGCTTTGAGAGTAGCTCTGCTACTACCTAGTAACCCTTCCTTTGCCTTTCTACTTGCATTCCCCTGTTGGCCACTGGTCCTGTTATCTGCGTCCCCTACTTCATTTTGAGTAGGTAAGTGCCAGTGGCAGCAGGTGGGTAAGTCATTTTACCCTACTTTTATGAATGTACAGAATGTATTTCTATATAATATTTGATTGTTCTGTACAAGTGACCAAAAATATGGTTGATGAACATATTAAATGCATATTAAGAATGTAAAAGTTTTTATAATTAAGGCTTTCATACTTACTGTAGATACAGGTTTTGAAAACTGAATATAAAGTAGTACTACTCTAGTATATTTTAGCAAGTAGATTGTTTATATCAAAAAGTTGCAATGTCTTCCATAAGTATTCCTACATTTCTACTATATTTTGACTAAAATTTATTGTTTTCTCATATCAGAAGAAGCCTTTACTCTGTGAGATTTTAATTTTTCATTTGTCTTTTTTTTGGTGGCTATACATGTATCAGAGAAATGACTATTTGTGAGACCTGAATTGGGATATTTACAGTCATTTTCTAATAAAAATCACAAAAAAGGATTTTTTTTCTAAGTTTAATAGAATTGTGGATTGAGGAAACAAAAGCATTAGGACACCTGTACAGTTGTATCACATTTTACTTTTCAAGTTTGCTTGACAGGGTCAGTGCTGCTTGCTCATTTAATAAAGCTGGACAGCATCCCAGTCAGCATCTCATCGGTCTTCGGAAAGCTGTCTACAGAACTGTAAGAGCCAACTTTCAAGCAGCAAGGCTAGCTACCCTATATATGCTGAAAAAATATCCTTTTCTGTCTATATGTAAGAATAAATATGCCTCCAGAGTTGTAAATATAGATAGCATAGTTGCATCCTGTGTAAGTTGAGTGTAAACTGAGATTGCCTGTTTTAAAGCTATTTCCATTATCACTTCTATTTTAAAACTGGAAAAGCATTCTAGAGGGAATAACAATAACAGACAGGAAGAAAGTTTTTCTGTTCTTGTGTGGCTCAGTTTCAACAAGGAAAAAACTTGAAGGCCCTCCCTTCACTTGTCTAAAGAATAAAGTCAGGAGAATCTGGCCCTGCTAGGACTGACATTTTTAAGTTACTGGACCCAGCAAATATGCGTCATGACATGGGAATAAACTGGTAACAGGAAATCCTTCCCCTTTCATAAAAACAGAATCTCTCAAGTCAGATTGGTTAAGTTTAAATTTTGGCTGTATTGGTCACTGCCTAGCTGACCTCTAAGCAAGCTTCTTAACTTTCTGTACCTCACTTTATTCATTTTAAAAATGGCAATAACAGCATACTCTTCCTGACTCTTTTTTGTTGACATCAAATGAGTTAGTGCATGTAAAGTGCTTAGATATTGTCTGGTGTATAATAAACACTCAGAGACTGCATGACAGTAAGTCTGTCACTTAAATTTACTAAGTCAGGAAATTAGTTCTGTTTATCAGGAAATAAAGGTATATAGGATCTTTATTTCAGTTAAAATTCATAGGTAATTTAAATTATGAGTAAATGGAATGCAAAAACACTTGTACCTTCAGTATTTGGGGTAAACTCTGTAAATGTTAAGTTTACAGAGTGCTTTATTATATCTTTATATATACCTTTCCAGCTAGGTCTTTTTATCTCCATTTTAGGAGAAAAACTAAATAAAATCTCCATTTTGTGTGATTTGCTTGGTGTTACACAACTGGTAAGAGGTGAAGTTGTGTCTTGACTGTAGGACTTATGACTTAAAATCTTTTCTATATATTTTTTAACTGTACAGTACTATAATACTTTGGAAATTGAAAGCATTTTAATTTTAGTCATGAATTTGTCCATTCAATTCCCCACTACCTAAATACCTCTGCTCTGTGCTACAAAGACATAAAAACTTATATGCCCTACTTCTAAAGACTTGAGTATACTTAATAGATAAGCTGGTGTTCATAATACAGTATAAATGCTGAGGGTACCTTCCAACATAGCATGACATATACTTGGTCAGTAGGGTCAGAGAATGCTTTTAAGGAGTTGACCTTGAGGATAATAAGTGTCTGCATTCCAAGTAGAATGAAGCAAAGATATGAAAAGAGATAGAGATATGGTAGTGTGGCATGTGAACTTCAAGTAGTTACTCATTCAGTAAATGTTTTTTTAGAATAAACTCAGTGCCAAGCAATATGCCAGTCACTAGATTTATGGTGGTACACATAATAGACATGATCCCTGCCTCAAGTTTCTTAACAGTTTAGTGAGGGGTAGGGGAGTAAAAGGGATAGCCTAATAATGTAGATTGCAAATTTGTGTTTCCTGTGCCAGTCACTTTCCTAGATAATAGAAACCTAGCAGTGAACAAGAAAGATAAAATCCTTGTACTCATGGCTCTTACCTTCTAGTGGATTAGTGGATTAGATAATGAATAAAAAGTGAACAGATGAGATTTTCACATATCTATTATAGAGTAAAAAGCCCCAGCAGAGTAGGATAGAGAGTGATTGGTGGGTTACTGCTTTTGATTGGATCGTAGGGGAAGGCCTCACTAAGGAGTTGACATTTAAAAAGAGATTTGAATGAGGAGAAAGATCATGTTCCAATTTGATGGACCAGTGAGTATAAAGATCTTGTGACAGGAATTATTTTAGTGTGATTGAATATACCAAGAAGGCCATCCTGACTAGAGAGCACAGTAAGTTGGGAGTTGGGGTATGAGATGAGATTCAGAGTAGGCAGGGACCAGAACATATTTACCACACAAGAAACCTTAAAGAATTAAAATAAAAAAGAATCTACCTATTATTCCTTTAAAAAGACCAATATAAACCCTTGGATGCCTGATCAAAGAGTAGAAATATACAAAGTTAGTAATGGGAACAGAGGTGTAACCATAGATAGGGAAGAAATTAAAATAAGTATAAGGAGATAATATATACAACTTTGTGGCAGCAACTTTGAAAATGTAGGAGGAAATGGTTAATTTCTTATCAAAATACAGACCTTCAAAACTGACCTGGGAAGATTTCAAAAACTTAAAAGAGATTTGGTATGTGATAAAAAATAATCCATTTAAAAAAGAAAACACCTGGTTATATATAAACAATGGAAAACTTGCAGCTGTAAAAAAGTGATAAAGTTCTTGATGCACTACTGTGGAATGATACCCAAATTATGTTGTTGGGAAAAAAATGAAGTGTACAGAGCATTATTTATGCTATGCTTCCATTTGTGCATAACTGTGTGTGTGTGTGTGTGTGTAGCTTTTATATATATGTGGGAGATACATATATATTGTATATGATATATATCCCCACATACACATTTATTTATTTGGATTTGCTTTTATGTATGCATGTATACATAATTTCTTGAAAGATGCACGAGGATGTCTTGAGCAATACTAGTAAGAGTGATTGTTTTTGCCTTTGGCCAGGGGAATGAGGTGGCTAAGGGACAAGGGTAGAAGGCACTTTTTACTGTCCTCTTAATGCCTTATGAATTTTTTGTACCTTATTAATTTTAATCCTGTAGATATATTTACATGTTCAAAAACTAAATTGATAAAAGAGATTTTAACTATCAGATCCAGATGGTTTTAAAGTTTTTTAAAAAACTATTTCATCTTGTGCCGAAGCGGCCCGGGCTTCCTCTGGCTCTCTCCCCGGGGCGGCCGTGGGCCGGGAGGGCAGAGGCGCCTTGTCTTCCAGGCCTTTGCTGCCGTGGCTGCTCCTGGGCCCACCGTGTGGCTCCCGGACATCACTTCTGCTAAAATAAATCCTAGTTCTTGTCCTGCCGGGAAAAAAAACCAAACTATTTCAGACCATAGAAAAGGTTAGGAAGCCTCCCCTACATCATTTTATTTATGAAGATTCTATAACTGCGTACCAAAACACAAGTTACAAAGAATTAAAAATTAGACCAATCTCACAGATGGAGATACAAAATACTTAAATAGAATATTTATAGATTTACTATAGTACTATATTAAAATATTGTTATATGACCAGATAGGAGTATGCTAGAAATATAAAAATAGTTCAGTATCAGGAATTGTATGGATATAATTCTTTACAAAAACTGTTGAAGCGGAGCTGGTACCTGGGTGCCTCAGTCAGCTAAGCATCTGACTCTTGATTTCGGCTCAGGTCATGATCTCAGGGTTGTGAGATCAAGGCCCTATCAGGTTCCATGCTGGGAGCATCTAGCCCAGCATGGAGCCTTGGAGCCTTACTTAAGATTTTCTCTTTCCCTCTGTTCCATCCCCTACCACCACCACCCACAAAAACCTTAAATTAAAAACAGCAACAAAACAAAATCTCTTGAAGGGGGAAAAATCACATAGTAAATTTGATAGATGCCCATGAGGAAGAGGAAAGCAGAAACAGAACAGTGGTCTGTGTGGAACAACTTAAATACAACAGGCTTAGTTCTAATGATGTTCTGGGTGCACACTGCAAGGATGCACACTGCAAGGAACTGATGTTTCCTGTAGCATAGTCAGGGCCTCAGCCATGATTACAGTAAAGTACAGGATACAGTTTCTAAAGGTACTGGTCAGAAATAACGAAGTTAGCACTTTAGCACTTGTAAAGAGTTGAACTTTTAAATCTTTAGATAGATGTAAAGATACTTTATTCACAAGTATCCTGTAAGATACCAGAGGTATGTTAATATAGTAGATTTTGAGATTTAGTTGTTTTTGTTTTGTTTTTTTTTAATGGGCATTCATCACCTCAAGTCACAGTTCAGAATAAAGATTAGTAATCTTTGATGGTTTTACTGTACCCTTTATACTTTTAATGAAAAGGCTTTGTTGATTGCCTTAACCTAATTTAACCTACCCCCTGAACTCTGAGAGTGACAATGTAACCAACTACATCTGTGTGGTGCCTTTTAAGGAGCTGGGCCTGGGACTTAGTGAAGAGCAGATTTCAGAAGAGGAAGCCCATAATCTTACAGATGGCTTTAGCCTGCCTGCTTTGAAGGTAATCTGTCTGTGGAACAGAAGGGCTGACCAAAAGATAGTTTGTACCTGTGCTATATGAATGTAAATGGCTAAATACTATCATCATAATAGCCTTCTTGATGTTTGTGAAGCTGTCTTTAAGAGTTGAGAGCATCATGAAGATTGGATGAGGTGATCCTTATATTTTGATATCAAAATACCTAAAATTCTTATTAAAAGCATTTCTTGCCTTAAATCAGAGTTTATAGATAAATGATTTTACGTTAATAGAAAACCAATATGAATGATTTTATGACTATTTGTTGTAACAAACTTGGGTAAAGAACTCTGAAGATCAAAATCTTTCCTTGGAAAATCTGCATAAAATGATCTATTTGACTATATAAAAATTAACTTTTAAGTTAAAAAATTGCAGTAATTTTTAACAAGGGTAGATACAAATCTTTCTACATAAAGAGTACCATGGTATGTGAAGCCTAGACCAGTTATGACAGGTGCATAAACTGATTTCACAAAGGAACAAATAGAAATGGCCCATAAATACAAAACTTTAAATCTCATTAGTAATAGGTAGATATTTTGCCAAGGATCTTAAGTTGGTAATATTTGTTATCTATGAAGATCAGAGAGACCTAACACACTAGTTAATAAAAGTATAAATTGGTACACTTTAGCAGTTAGTATCAATCTTCAGAAAGATACATACTCTTCAGTAATCTTAATCTTAAAGATTTATCTAAGTAGTCAAAATATACTCTAGGTAGGTTCATGGTATTCCTACAACGACAAATATTGGAAACAAAAGTTCAGTAATATAAGATTAATGATGATTTATGGTACATTCTTTGAAATGAGTAGTAGAAAAATTTTAAGATGGAAAAAACAAAATAAATGCAAGTTACAAAAACCATGTGTTTGGTAAGATTCTAGTAGTGGTTTTAAATAGTCAGTCCCAGTGTCTTTAGATTCCTTCTCAGTATTTAGCAAACTCCACTTAGATATCTCTGTTTCTAATCTTAAGAACTTCACTTGATACCCATGAAAGCCAGTGCAAGTGTAGTTGACAGCATACATACCAAGATCCATTTTGTTTTGAGACTGCATTGATCTCTGTATCTTTAAAATTTTCAGATTCACATAAATATTCTAATTCTTTTGGTTTTCTTTTTTCCTTCACTATTACTTGAAATTTGCCTTGATTTATTCTTATCCCCTTTCCATCCCATTTCAATAAATGGCAGCACACAACTTATTAAGCTAGAAACCTGGATACCATCCTTCTTATCTTTTTATCCCTGTATCCAGTTTGTCAATAGATTCTTGTGTCTGTTTGACCTTGAAAATGTTTAAACCCATCCATTATATCCCTTCCTGCCATCTTCATTCTAGCCCTCATCATTTCTTACCTAGGTTACTGCAATAATTTTCTTATTGGTTTCCTTGATTCCCTAAAGTTGTTCATAATGCAGTTTAACATAGGGACACTTGAGTGGCTCAGTCAGTTAAGTATCTGCCTTCTGCTCAAGTCATGTTCTTGGGGTCCTGGGTCTGAGCCCTGTGTCAGGCTCCATGCTCTGTGAGGAGTCTGCTTCTGCCTTTCCCTCCCCCACTATGCCCTCTCATGCTCACAGTCTTTCTCAAATAAATAAAAATCTTTAAAAAAAAAAAAAGAATGCAATTTGATCTATAAAGAGCCTTAAAAATCATATGTGCTGGGATCCCTGGGTGGCGCAGTGGTTTAGCGCCGGTCTTTGGCCCAGGGCGCGATCCTGGAGACCCGGGATCGAATCCCACGTCGGGCTCCCGGTGCATGGAGCCTGCTTCTCCCTCTGCCTGTGTCTCTGCCTCTCTCTCTCTCTCTCTCTGTGTGACTATCATAAATAAATAAAAATTAAAAAAAAAAATCATATGTGCTTTGAACAGTAATTCCACTTCTGCAAAAGATGCTAGTTGTGGCTAAATCCTTTTTGTTCACCTAAGTTGTTTTACAAATTAGACTAACTTTACTACTTTGGCGTTTGCTTTTATCTTGACACGTAAGTAATCCATAATCAAACTCAATGATTGTGTTGCGTTATTACCAGGAATATCAGTCTCTGCAAGAAGCTTTATCTTGAGGTCCATAGAGTTTATAAACTACTGAAAACCTCTGTATAATGTTCAAAAACAGTGTTTTGCCACCTTGTATAGTTGTCATTGTACCCAGATAAAGAATTTAAAAACAGATTTTGTAAGTCAAATTTTAAAGGAAAATTCTCTCCCTAAAGGACAACATTAATTAAAGCTTTTTATTTTTTTTTTTTTTTTTATAAATTTTTTTTTTTATTTATTTATGATAGTCACACAGAGAGCGAGAGAGAGAGAGGCAGAGACACAGGCAGAGGGAGAAGCAGGCTCCATGCACTGGGAGCCCGACGTGGGATTCGATCCCGGCTCTCCAGGATCGCGCCCTGGGTCAAAGGCAGGCGCCAAACCGCTGCGCCACCCAGGGATCCCAATTAAAGCTTTTTAAAAAAAATATAGTGAAAGATGTTTTACAAATAAATCAGGGCCTTTTGTTTCCCTTTGTAATTTTTAGTGTGTCTATAAAGAAAATGCCTTTTGGATTTAGATTTTATTGTTCACATATCTTCTCTCAGAAAAACTTAGCAAGTGATATACCTTTGAACAAAAAAAAACTACTCTTTGTTGTGCCCAAGGTGATGTATATGGAATATTAAGTATGATAGAATCCTTATCTCTTTTTTCTTCAAATTTTTAACTAGGTTTTTCATCAGTTTAAAGTATTTTTCCTGCCATAAAAAAAAAAAATCCCCATTTTGTGAAAATGCTTTAAATCAAAATTTCCTATTTGCCCATAAGCAGTGGTTATGCTGTTATCCAGAGCCACTTCCCTATCCAAACAACAAATGGGAAAAAATGTATATTTCTTAGTTTTGTTTAACTGGAGAATGTGGTAGTGATTCAATAATGATTTAAGCTATGCCAACTTAATTCTTTCCATTGCTGTGGCCCAAACTCCATCATCCTTGATAACACTTTTTCTCTCATAAACAGTCTGTCAAGAGATTGTCTTGTTCTATTTTTATGGTATATCCAGAGTCTCGCTATCGCTCTCCTCTTAGCCACTAACCACTGTCGTACAAGCTACCTTTAACTCTCACCTAGATTACTGTAGTAACCTTCTGACTGTTCAGAACCCTTCAGTGGCTCCCCATTTTTCTTAGAATAAAAGCCAGTTATTTCAGGGACTTCATTGCTTACCATGCTTCCCTTACTTACTGTACCCAGCCATACTGACCTTACTGTTCTTCAGATATGCCACATACTGTATACTCCTACTACAGGACTTGGCACTTGAACCTCCTGCTTCCTGTAACTCTCTTCCCTGTTAATAGTCCCATGGCTCAGTTCCTTCAGATGACACTTATTTAGAGACCTTCTTGGCCACCCCATCTTTCCCTCCTTCTGCCTCTACCCCTTTCCCTCTCCCCATGTATGCACACATTCACTATTCCCCTTCTTTGCTGTGTTTTTTCCCATAGCTCATCAGCCAAGAAACTATCTTTTACTTGTTAGAGTCTTTTGCTCCCCCTGCCACCTGAATATAATTCCATCAAGAACGGGATTTTGGGGGCACCTGGATAGCTCATTGGTTGAGCATCTGCCTTTGGCTCAGGTCGTGATCCCAGGGTCCTGGGATCAAGTCCTGCATCAGGCTCCCTGCAGGGAGCCTGCTTCTCCCTCTGCCTATGTCTCTGTCTCTCTCTGTGTGTGTCTCTCATGAATAAATAAATAAAATCTTTAAAAAAAGAATTTTTTTCAGTTTGTACCCTGTCGTATTATCAACACCTAGAACATTATCAATATCTAGGTGCTCAAGATTTTGCTGAATGATCAAATAAAAGACTAAAGAAAATCATTGCGGTCACAAAATTATTAAATAAGAAGACTTGGGAGGTAAGCTGTTAATATAAATTCAAGAGTTCCTAGATAGTGTGTCTTTAGCAGTTTAGAAATTTGACTTTGCTCAGTTAAAAAAAGCAAGTTAATAGTAAAATAGGTTTATATTAAATACATTAATTGTATAACTTAAAGTTCATTTACTAAAGCAATCAAAGTAATATCTACTTCCACGGCTGTGAAAAATTAAAATCTGAATTATCCAAGTGTTCATTTATCTTTTTGTTGTCCACTCTTACTCATACTAGATTGCTTCCTCATGTATTTGTTTATTTGTGGGATATTGTCCACATCTTGAACAGGACTACATCTGGAGAAATCCTTTGTTGATTCAGGGTGTATCTCTCAAGAGTGGATTTTGCAGTTTCTCGTGCCAGACATTCAGAGTTATGAACACTTGGGACTGATTTTTATGTTATTTCTTAGCTATTCCCTAGACCAAAATGGTATAATTTTGAATCCAAAATTTTGGATGCATCACTGATTCATTTCTTTGGACTTCCATAGGTCCATTATTCCTACTGTCTTCTTTTCTACTTTGTGTAAAATTTTTAAGTAATTCATCAAGGAATATTCATTTTTAATAAGTATCTCGTTATCAACACTTCTTTTCTAGGATAGAACTATTCTAAAATACATACTGGTGTTACATACTATATTTGTATTAGAAGTTCTCACATGCTATGACTACATAATTCAATCTAACATTCTTGGCTACTCTTCAGGATTAGTTCAAACTCAGCTATACTCATTACTTAGGATAAAGTGGGAAATTTAACCAGAAGTTAAGATAAACAAATTTATAGTTTGTTTTGAATTTTGACAATTTTTTTATTGATCTAGTCCCTTTTTCTTTTTAGGTCTTGTTTCAACTCTGGGTGGCACAGAGTTCGGAGTTCTTCAGACGGTTAGCCCTACTACTTTCTACAACTAATTCACCTCCCAGGCCCTTACTTACTCCAGCACTTTTGCCTCATCGTATTTTATCTGATGTGACTCAAGGTCTACCTCATGCTCATTCTGCCTGCTTGGAAGAGCTTAAGCGCAGCTATGAGTTTTATCGGTACTTTGAAACTCAGCACCAGTCAGTACCCCAACGTTTATCCAAAACTCAACAGAAGTCAAGAGAACTAAATAACGTTCACACAGCAGTACGCAGCTTGCAGCTCCATCTCAAAGCATTACTGAATGAGTAAGTTTAGAAGCCAAATAAGAAAATGTCCCCATGATTAGCAAGCTTCATTCTGGCTGTTGGCTTGTGTCATAGCTAGAAAGAAGCAGCAAAATTGAGACATGCAGTATGGAGGATGGTTTATAGCTATTAATGTAGCAGAGAAAGAATGATTCTAAGTTCTATAATTTGGGGGAGTCATTTATAGTGTTAACTTTGTCTGATTTCAACAGAAAACCTAGAAACATAAGACAAAAGCAGGTGTTCATTCTGTTTGAGAGCTGAAATGGAGATGTTAACAAAGATTGAGCTTGTTTTAACTCTTTAATTAGGGCTCTTAACCTGAAGCCTACAATTTAAGGAACATAGCTGCCAGCCCTGGAACAGTAAGTTATAAAGGTATTGGTATATATATAGCTGAAGAATAATATATTACAATTTTTAAAAATAAATTATAGCAGGTTTGGATATTTTCTGAACCAGAGGACACATTTTTTGGCCCAAGTTGAATAGTAAGATGCAGGGTCCATAGTTTATATTTGTTTTTCTTCTGCTTGGCTTGGTATTATTGGTACCCTGCCTTGGTCAGATGTAGGATCCATTCAGTCCAGTGACATTTTTCTGTAACAGATACTTCTAATATATGACTGAATCAAATGATGGTTGGGGTCATGTTGTGTTGGTAATCAGGGAAAGGCATGGGAATTTAGTGACTTGATGAGATTATAGTTGATGTACTTGATCCTGGAAACCTCTACTTTAGGGGACAACAAATGTTGGGTATATGTCAGAGAAAAAAAATTCAGTGGAAGTGCGGTATTGGGCACAGCCAGAGTCTCTAAAGAATTGACTTTTGGCAATAGCATCAGAACTACATAGGACTTAGTAGAATGCATTAGAGTGAGGGAAGATGGCTCAGGGAAGAAAGAGGCTACACTGGATGGACATGGAAAAGAGGGGCTTTGTGCCTGGGGCAGATTGTGGATTATGCATGGGAAGGATGTCTCCTGTTTAAAAATGAAATATTCTATATATGGTACTATATGTTGCCTTTCAAACAGAGTATACCAGTCACAAACCAGATCTAATTTGCTCTGTGGCACTGCTGCACACAATTTTTAAAAGTGTTATCTAAAAAAAAAAAAAAAAAAAAAAAAGTGTTATCTAAACATTTGTTGTGTGTGTCACTCCTCATTCTCACTCATCCCCTCTGCTCTTCCTAGTATGGACACTAGGGCATTAACCCTTATACTGTTCTCTCTGCCTCTAGAGTGCTCACTACCAAATTAATGTTTCTGAGGCATACATTTGCTTTCTCAACCAGAAATCTTCACTGGTTTCAGAGGATAGCAGCATGGACCAAAGTCTGTATAAAATAGTCTGTTGAAAGGATTTGCTATAACCTGATTATAGTCTGCCTTTCTGTTTCTCACTCCTTCAGTCCAAATAAACTGCATAATGCCTCTTCCCCCTGTACCATTTAGAATGACCTTCTTCATTTTGGTACATGTTCAAATTTTATCCATCCTTCAGTGCTTCCTCAGAAGTACCTCTTCCTTAGCTGTTCCCTCTCTGTACCCGTAGCTGGTAACAACTTCCTCCTCTTCTGAATTCTTGTACCATGGTCTTTATCTTTCTGTGGTATTACACTTTTGTGCTTAGATTCAGTCCAGACTTACAGCTTCCCAGCTGCATAACTCTAGGCAAGTTGCTTCAACTCTCTGGACCTAATTCCTCATCTGTAAAATGCAAATAAAATGTTAGCTATAATTTTTATGTTATTATATTTATACATATATATGCCTAATCTCCCTGATTCTGTTATGTTTCCTATTAAATATGAAATGAGCTTAATTTATCCTCTCAGTTCATAAGTGGCCTCATATATGTAAAAGAAATTCTGTTTAATAAATAGGTGATACTCTTTATAAGCTTTTAAAAACATTGTGGCAAAATGCACATAACATTAAATTTACCATTTTTAGGCATACATTTCAGTGGCATTAGGTACATATACATTTTTGTGCAACCATTATCACCTTCCATCTCCAGAACTCTTTTCATCTTATAAGCTTATTACTTAAATAAGCTTTGTGAATTATAAATTATTACTTTAATATTTTAGAAATCCATTTCTGTTTTTATTACTCAGGGTAATAATTCTTGAAGATGAACTTGAAAAACTTGTTTGTACTAAAGAAACACAAGAACTAGTATCAGAATCTTATCAAATCCTAGAACAGAAGTTAAAGTTGATTCAGCCCCATGTTCAGGCAAGCAACAATTGCTGGGAAGAGGCCATTTCTCAAGTGGACCGACTGCTACGAAGAAACACAGATAGAAAAGGTACCAGTGAGAGCTTTCCTTCATGTACATCTATCATACATGGTTACTCTAGTCCAGTAAGATTTTGTTAGGTGGATTTCTTGTCTCTATGATGTAAGTGACTTGACAAAACTTAGCTTACTGAAAGAAATGTTGAACTTATACATACAAATTGACATTGAATATAGTCTGGCCTTATTTTGTAAACAAATGAATATGATTTGAAAGTTCTCTGAATCCTTAGCTCCTTTTTAAAAAACTTAATGAAAGGACAGATTTTAATAAGTGTTATTCCATTATTAGAACTTCTGGAAACTCTTTTCCAGTTAGTGTAGTAATGAGTTTGATAGTTAGGGGCCAGAAAAGGAGTCTTGCTTTTAAGGTAAAATACGTCAGAAATTCAGAAATAGTAAACCAATGCTATGATAAGCGGTACTGTGTATTTGTGCAAATACTGTGTATTTGTTATTAAGGGTCTGAAATATGTTAAGTGCCATTGTTTAATGGTGACATTGGAATGCCTTGTGTTGCTGGGCAAAAGGGCAATCTTGAAATCTTCTGCAAAATGGCTTTCATTTGACCCAGACTTTATATTAGTTTTTACTAATTTCACTAATTCACTGTAAATATTTGGCATATTAATTTTTAAATTTGTGCTATAAATAGTACCATGTTTATCCCTTGGGCCTTTATGATAATCAGATATATATGTGTAGAAATTGTATTGCTGCCAAAGATAATTAATGCTTTATCATCCTGTTAGTCATTGTTTTGTTTACAGCTAGATCTGTAATACTTTAATGTCATTAAGAAGCTGAATAAGTCTTTACATAGTGAAAGTTAACTTTTTTCAAAGGAAATGTTAACATGCTAATTACTGATGGATGCATCACTAATAGATTTCCTTTATATCTAAAATGTAAATGGCTTCCAAAAAATAAATAAATAAAATAAAATGTAAATGGCTAGTAAATTTTTTCTTCAGAGGGTAAATTTGCCAATGATCTTTAATATATGCAAATATTGATGCATGTTAAACTTTTTGATATGACAAGTCTAGAACTTTTGAGTGCATTTTCTTTTTTTTTCTCAAGTTTTTATTTAAATTCCAGTTAGTTTCTTGAGTGCGTTTTCTTTAAATGGAAACACTCGGAAATGACTGGGAATTAAGAGATACATCCCATTTATTCCTCCCCTTAGCATACTCTGAGATGGTAAATTGTAGCAGTCACTTGAACATGATTGTTAAAACTGTCTCCAAAACATTGGGCAAGTGATAAGCCATGATGTTCTGCATATGTGGCTTTTGCTTATAGGTGATAATGATACTAATTAAGATATAAGTCATTGGCAAACTTTTCTCACTAAAATGTTCATAGTAGCCATGGCTATGTGACTTTGAATAAAATATTTGTATGATTTTTTTAAGAAGCAGATGCTTTGGGCAGCCCAGGTGGCTCAGCGGTTTAGCGCCACCTTCAGCCCAGGGTGTAATCCTGGAGACCCGGGATCGAGTCCCACGTCAGTCTCCCTTGCATGGAGCCTGCTTCTCCCTCTGCCTGTGTCTCTGCTTGTGTCTCTGCCTCTCTCTCTCTCTGTGTGTCTCTCATTAATAAATAAATAAAAAAAATTTTAAAAAAAGAAGCAGGTGCTTTAGTTAGTTCTTAGCTCTTTTTAAGTTATTTCAAGACTGCAGAAATGACACAAGATAGTTCAAAGTAGCCTTCTTCACCCATATTCCTCAGTTGACATTCTACCACATTTGCCATACCTCTCTCAGTATCTGTCTATAAATTCTTTTGGTGGTATTATTCTGAACCATTTTGAGAGTGAGATGCAGACATGAGATCCCATTACCCCTAAATCTTCTGTTTGCACTTTTGAAAAAAGAGCATTCTCCTACCTACCTACAATATACCATCAAAATCAGGACATGAGCACTGATCTAATATTGCTCTCTAATCCACAGATCCCATTCTAATCTCACTAATTGATCCAATGGTAATTTTATATGACCAGATCCAGATCACACATGGCATTTAGCTTTTATGTTCTTTATTCTACTTTAGCCTTTTTTGTCTTTCATAATAAGTGTTTTATTTAAAAAAATATCCTGAGATTATATAAGTTTTTTCCCACTATTAAGTATATATGTCCCATATGCCCCACTAGGATCATTTCACATATTTATTTAAGAGATATAAAAAAGTAATGTTCAAAAAAAATGTAATGTTCACATGAAAACCTATAAACAAATGTTTATAGTGGCTTTATTCATAATCACTAGAAGCTAGAAGCAGTCCAAGTGTCCTTCAGCTGACGACTAGACAAACTGTTAAATCCATCCACACAATGGAATACTACTCAGCAATAAAAAACAAATGAGCTACTGATACATCATTAAGATGGAGGAATCTCTAATACACTGTGTTAATCAAAAGAAGCCAGACTCAAATCACTACATAGTCTATGATTCCATTTAAATGACATTCTTAAAACAGTATAATTTAATAGGAATGGCCGATATACCAGCAGTTACTAGGAGTTGGATATGGAGGGAGGAATGGGCAGCATAAGTAAATGTCTTGAGGTGATGGAGCTGTTTTGTATCTTAGTTGTATCTATATCTTGGTTATGGTGGTAGTGGTGATTATATGACTCTTAATTTGTCTAACTTCATAAAATTAGATACCAAAAAGAGTGAATTCTCGGAGTAAAATAAAATAAGGTTTTTTTACCCATCAGTTTCAGCATCTACTAGTTTAGTTCTTGCTCAAATTAGATATTATTGTGATTGTTGCCAAACGGCGATTTTCTAATTCCATTTTTCCTTTTATACGTATTAGCATTTTGTTGTGAGGCAAAGCAGCCCTTTTGCCACTTACTTTTTTAAAAAGATTTTATTTATTCATGAGAGACACACAGAGAGAGGGCCAGAGACACAGGCAGAGGGAGAAGCAGGCTCCATGCAGGGAGCCCGATGCGGGACTCGATCCCAGGACTCCAGGATCACACCCTGAGCTGAAGGCAGGTGCTTATGCACTGAGCCACCCAGGCATTCCCCGTTTTCCACTTATTTATATCAATATGGATGTATGGATTTTTATTTTATTCTGTAGATCATAATTTGTTAGTCAAACAGGATTATTAAATGTTAGTATTATATTACATGTTAGTATTATATTACGTTAGTATTATAGTACTATTTTGCTCAAATTGCCCAAAGTTTAACCAGAGGGAGCCTGTTCAGGGTGGTTTGTGCCATCATCATTCTTTGACCACTTCTTTACTTCTTCATACTTACTTTGCCCCCAGCCCTAATGCCCTAATAACAGCCATGTATCCAAGATGCCCTATTCCTTTAGTGGAAAAATGGTATTTAGAAACCAAGATGTGGGTGCTAAGTACTCCTGGCCACTGGGATTTTACCATTTCTAAGCACATAGGGTGGTGAGATATATCTGTGTAAATGTATATATCAATATCTCTCTCTCCATATATGTTGTGTACCATGGGTTCACACCAATACTCCAATTCAGTCCCAACACTACATAGTTCATTATGTCCTTCTCCTTATTTGTCCCTCTCTTTTCTGATTATAAGAAACTTGGCTCTCTTTATCTTCAATGTTTACTTACTTATTCAATCCTTTGTATGTAAGCAATCGCCTGACAATATGGGCTGTCCCCTGAGCCACATTGCTACTCACTCACACCTACTGAGAGTCCTTCCCATCCCATCTCATTCCAGTCCAGCTAGCTTTGTCCACACCAGCCCCTGAAGCCAGGAATCTCCCCCCAACCCTGGTGCCAACCAGTTACCTGTCATTACTCTTGAAAGGTAAAAATCTAGATTCTTGAACTCTACTTCTTTTTAAGTAGAGAGATAATGATGAAAGGTAGAGAGCTGGATATGAGGCTAAGTAACCCTGTGTTTAGAATCCAGACACTAATATTAAGTAATTAAAGTTAACACCTGGGTGATCTTTTCATGCTATTACTTTTAAAATTCATTTCCAATTCTAACTTCTGAGAGTAGAAGTAATATAAAGGAAGTGCAAAATTGAAGTTTATTTTTTGTTGGGAAAAGTGATGGTCTGTTTGGAGACTGTTCCTATGCCATGAACAAAAGTTGATTTGTTCAGTGAGTATTTATAGAGTACCTATTATATGCCAGATACTATGGTAAGGTGAAGAAGGGAGAATATGATTTAATTGTTAAGTCTGTTGCTGTTATAGTTAACTTTAACATCCTTAATTTTTTAATATAAATTAAAAGTTACAATGAGAACAAGTTGGGCTATGAAATTGGCAAAATATTAGTACTAATAATGTTTTTTAATTAGATGTTCACTCATTTCTGTGTGGCCTGTTGCTTTTTAAGGCAAGCCTGAAATAGTATGTGAAAATCCACGTTGTACTGTGGTACCTTTGATGCAGCCTACTCTACATATTGCAGACAAAGATCCAATCCCTGAGGAGCAGGTAATGGTGAAAATTGCTTTTTAATCTACATACAAAGATTACCTATCTTTCTCTTTAAGAGGCATGGATGATTATTGACTTAGTTGTTAAATTTATGTTTGTGATGAGCTTCAAAATTACAGCATAGTATATTGAACTGATATCAAATCATTTGTCTGTATGTCTCAATGCCTTAAATTTGAATCTACCAGTAAATTTTCATATTTTTTTATATTTTACTGTCTATTTTGTAGACACTTAAAAGTGATCAAACACATTACAAATGAGTGCATTGGCAAAGGTAACTTCTGGGGTGCTGGAAATGTGACTAGTGGTTACTGGTCAATATACATATGTAAAAATCCTGTACATTTGAGATTTGTGCATTTGGCAGCATGTATATAGCTCACTTTATTTTTTTTTTTTAATTTTTATTTATTTATGATAGTTGCACACACACACACAGAGAGAGAGAGAGGCAGAGACACAGGCAGAGGGAGAAGCAGGATCCATGCACCGGGAACCCGATGTGGGATTCGATCCTGGGTCTCCAGGATCGCGCCCTGGGCCAAAGGCAGGCGCCAAACCGCCGCGCCACCCAGGGATCCCTATAGCTCACTTTAAAGAAACAGTTTTTTAATGATTTAATTAGATATTGACAAAAATGTCTTTTGTTTATTCTAAGGAAAACTTCTTTTCTTTTGGTCATAATTGTCTACTCGGTATTCTTAATTGCAGAAGGAGACCAATTCTGTTTAGTTTAACAAACAAAAGTTTTTTTTTTTTTAAGATTTTATTTTATTAGAGAAGGAGAGAAAATCCCAAGCAGACTCTCCATTGAGTGTGGAGCCTGACACAGGGCTCCATCCCACTACCCCAAGACCATGACCCGAACTGAATTCAAGAGTTGGACGCTTAACTTACTGAGCCACCCAGGTGCCCCCACAAACAACAAAAATGTTTTAAAAAACAGTACCTGACTGACAATATTTCTGAGGGTTACATAGCCAGGTTTGAAACAGGTTGCTGTAAACAGCCGAAATCACTCAAAAGAACTGTTCCATTTCCTGCATTATCACTGCCCAGTCACTGGTTTCAGACATTGCCATTTGCTCCATCATTGCTGAATAACAAAAACTCCCTTTAGAACCTCTACCTCTAGAAACTTGATCTGCCACCACTCTTGCCAGAATGGATTCCTTAAGATGCCTGCTTCCCTTGTAACAAAACTTCTAGGTCAGATGTGATCCACATACAGATATAGCGGATCCCAAGTCATTTGCCTGAACCATAACTGCAAGGAGGCTGGGTAAGCAAGAATCCTAGTCTGTTCCTTAGTGAGACGAAGAACCATAAGATGAGGTTCCCCGGGGCAGCCCCGGTGGTACAGCAGTTTAGTGCCGCCTGCAGCCCAGGGCGTGATCCTGGAGACCCTGGATCAAGTCCCACGTCCGGCTCTCTGCATGGAGCCTGCTTCTCCCTCTGCCTCTGTCTCTGCCTCTCTCTCTCTCTCTGTGTCTATCATGAATAAATAAATAAAATATTTAAAAAAAAAAAAAGATGAGGTTCCCCAATCCTAGAATAATGTTCAAACATCCTGAGAAGTCCGAAAGAACTGCAGGTACCTACCACAAAAAGACAACATACCTGACCACCTCCACAAACCACCAGGCCTTCTAATTTGATTGGTTTTATAGAGCTAATAACTGTAATCTTAACTGGATCTATAGAATGGTATCAGAGCAGAAAAATAACGATTGAAGTTATTAAACTTTCTTATCTACAATCCCTTTTAGTATCAACTGTTAAGTTTAAGACTTCAGTTTATCTGTAATAATATATTTGCTCTGTTTGCCCACCTTTGCTTTAGTGACCTGTGCCAAGAGTCTTCATTTTTTAATCTTGGAGCTGGGTAGGTACAAGTTAATGAATGCTACTAGAAAATTGTGCTTGAAGTAAAGTGCTTTTTCTTTTATTCATTTTCAGGAATTAGAAGCTTATGTAGATGATATAGATATGGACAGTGATTTCAGAAAGGATGATTTTTATTACTTGTCTCAAGAAGACAGAGAGAGACAGAAGCGTGAGCATGAAGAATCCAAGAGGGTACTCCAAGAATTAAAATCTGTGCTGGGATTTAAAGCATCAGAGGCAGAAAGGCAGAAGTGGAAGCAACTTCTATTTAGTGATCACGGTAAGCACTAACTTCAGAGTAAACAATTATTTTATTATAGAGGATTCTTTTTTCTTGAACTATGAATCTTACTTTAGCTATATAATTCTTATAGCTTTAATTTTAGGGATCTGTCAAGTATAGTACTTTTTTCTTCTAGACACAAATCAGTATGATCAATAAAAGAGTAGGTATATAATCAAATTGGGAGTATGAAATCAGAGTTTTTCATCAGGTATTTGATATTTTACTAAATTTTATTTGGAATAGGCAGTGAGTTGAATAAATTACAGTGTTTTCAAATTTAGTGAATTTGAGATTCTAAACTCTGTTCTCTTTATGTTGATATTATAAATACCTCAATGGAGCACCAAATTAAAAACTCTTTGTTTACCATTGAAAGAAATGAATTAAAATCTAGGCCAATTAGCTACATCACTAAGGTTATGTAATTGATTTGAACGCTTTAGTAGATGGGAGAAGAGGAGGTGCTTTGGTGCGCACTGTCTCCATACTTGGATTGTCAATACTGATGATTAGTGTTAAACTCCTTTAAGTTTCCCACTCTTCTTTTTCTTTAGTTGGATTTCATGAGAAGTGAGGGAAGGAATGAGGAGAAGCTTAATACTTGACAGTATCAAACTAGCTAATTCCTAGTTGAGAAGAAACTTCTGGAGTTTTCTAAGTAGGGAGAGTGGGTTTCCCCTTTTATAGAGTACTTATGTGGAGCCTCAAAATCAACTGCCTTCTTTCCTGTTCTCTTTTTTTACTAGAAGTTTATAGATTACCTGTACTTCTGGAAAGTTCCTCAGGTTTCTCTTTTCTTCTCTTAAGAGCCCTACCATTCTCCCTTGTCCACATATACATTTCTTGGTTTTATCCTTCCTCATCCCAAGGCCCCCTTTAATAGCCTGGGTCCTTATTAGATTGTGCTTGTAAACTGTAATGGTGTCTTAACTGACTTCCATTTTCTTTTTTATTATGTAACCTCTAACTCCCAACGTGCTGCTCAAATTCATAACCCAAGATCAGGAGTTGCATGCTCTACTGACTCTGCCAGTGTGGTGCCCCAGCTGACTTCTATTTTCAATACCTTTTTCTTCTAAGCTATCCTTAGAAGATAGCTTCTGAGGTAGCTTCTATCTATACAGGCTCCCTCCTGATTTTTCTCAAACAGTAGTACATTGATAATGGCTCTCTATCTTTAAAACCTGGAGTGGTTCCCCCCTTTCCTACTATATTAAATCTAAACTCTTTTTCCTGGTTTCAAGCCTCTCTATCATATGAGTCCATCATTTCCAATTATATTTCCTACTCTTTCTAATATAGATGTCCTCCTCTGGTTATATTTATATAATGAGACTATGGTTCCACAAACTGATTGTTTTTACTCATGAAAAACATTCACGCTGGGGCGTTTGGCTGGCTCAGTCTATAGAGCATGCAACCTTTGATCTTGGGATAATGAGTTCAAGCCCCCATGTTGGGGGTAGAGATTACTTAAAAAAAAAGAAAAGAAAAAAAAAACATTCATGCTGATCTCTTTACCAAGAATTCTGTCTTCTCCACCAAACCAGCCTTTCTACTGGTTGCTTGTTGGCAAATCCTCCTCTCCCTGCTTCCTCTCCCACCACTGCAAAGCCTCACACCAGAGAGGCACTTGAGCCAGCAACATATGCAACAGATTAAAAAATACCCAGGGGCAGCAGTAAAGATAGAGTTCCTGCAACCTGTTTGTTCTTATGTTGGGCCTACATGAATCAGAGATTGAGAGTATTATGTTTTAGGCACTATTGTTTTCTATGCGTTCGGTGTTTTTGTCTGTATAATGAAATTACCATCTCTGTCAGTAGGGGCTTTATTATCCCCCACAGTGTTCATTCAGTAAATTACTCACTCAACAAGGAGTTACTGACGTACTGTTTCCTGCTGTATCCCGAGTGCATAATCAAGAGACAAATATCCCTGCACTCCTGGAGGCTTACCTTCCAGCAATGTTAACACTTGATCCTCCAGTTGCCCAGATTATATTGCCCTATTTAATTAGCCATAATCAGAGATATCAATCAACATCTGTTTCATTCTTTAAGAACTAAATTTATCGCCTCAAACTGTACATGAAGACTGAATATACCATTGTATATAAACCTGTATCCTTTCTATTGTGCAGTACTTTCTCCATCTAGTTTTTAAATATCCTATTGACAGTATGGGCAAGGATATAACAATGAAAGAAATGTTATCTTTTTTCAGGTATGTGCTTCTGGTAGTTTACATTTGAAAGGGTAGTAATGCTGATTTTGTTTGTGAAAATAAGTAAAAAGCTGCTGATACCATAAAATGCTTTTTCCGTGAAAAATTTCAGTACATCTTCCAGAGTTGTTTTCATCTCTGCCTACAGGGGTAAAGTCCGAATGGAATTAGAGAGGGATATTCTACACTGGAACCTGCTGTGGCCATATTTTTCTGTTGTTGCTGCTCTCTAGTGGAGTTACTGCAGCTTAGGGATCTGTTTCTTGGAAATGGACACCTTTTACAAATTATTTTTTAAATAAACGCCAGATCTTCAAGAAGCACTTTTTTTTTTTTCTTCCGTCATGCTTCCTAATATATTGTATTGTACTAACCCCTCATACTGGGAGGAGAGACTGCCTAGCAAGCAACCCACTGCCTACTAACATCAAGAGGGGCTAAATAAAACTTCATTTTCCTTGAAAGGACAACTTCTACCGTATGGATATAATATTTATGTATTATGCTTTGTACAATAGTTTATCTTGAATACAGATTTTATTTTGTTTATATTTTTCTGTGACATTACAAAATGTGTAGAAGTTATGGCTTTAGTTTCATCAGGGTCTTATTAGGTGGTTGGCAAGTAAGGTGAACTGTGTGCATTTTTTTCCGTGCTGTTTTAACTTGTAAATATATATGTGCATAAGATACGATTATTATCTGGATGACTTTAGGTCTTTTAACTCCCACATTATCAGTAAAAACCATGTTGCTTATTCTTTCATAAGAATGGTTCTCAAACATTAGTGTGCATCAGAGTTGAGCATAGGGCTTATCAGCACAGCTGGTCCCACTCAATGTCCCCTTCAGTAGGTCTGGGTGGGGCCCAAGAATTGTATTTCTGCCAGATAACCTGGTGGTTACAACTGATGTTGGTTTGGGGACCATACTCTGAGAACCACTGCTTTAATATTTTGAATAAGAGAATGTGTGATGTGTTTTAAAATCTTCATCAAAACCCCATCTCATTTCATTTCTTAGGCATTCTATCTCTTATAAAGTTCTCTGGATTTATAAATTTACATAGATTTTACTAGAAAGTTTTATTTAGCTTTTATTTATTGTTCTTTATAAGAAAAAACTACTGGAAATTTAAATTAAAGTTTAAATCATTGCTGGGTCCTTAGTTATTATTTTTCTTTCTTTTTTTTCTTTCTTTCTTTCTTTTTTTCCTTTGAAGCTGTGTTGAAATCCTTGTCTCCTGTAGACCCAGTGGAACCCATAAGTAATTCAGAACCATCAGTGGATTCAGATATGGGGACAGTTGGTAAAAATGATACTGAAGAGGAAAATAGTAAACCCTCCACAGCTGACAATGAAATAAGTAGTAGGACTGAGTATTTATGTGAAAACCCTCTAGATGATAAAAATAAAGACAATTCTGCAAATGAAGTCTTCCTCCAAGGAGCTGAAGAAAGAGTGTGTTACCAATGTGAGAGTGAAGAGGAATCTCAGCAGTCAGATGTAGGTAGCATATCCACTGCCCATCCAACTCCCAGGGACTTATTACAGCCCTCCATTAAGCAGAGGCTGGCACGGCTCCAGCTGTCATCGGATTTTAACTTCACTGCTGGTCTTGCTGCAGAAGTGGCTGCTAGATCTCTCTCCTTTACTACCATGCAGGAACAGACTTTTGGTGATGAGGAGGAAGAACAAATAATACAAGAAAATAAAAATGAGGTAGAAGAGAAGTAAGAACCAAGATGCCCATGAAGGATTTTAAATTGTTGCTTTTATGCAGGTGTTTTAGCTTCAACACTAGATAATCCACTGGAAAGGGAAAATGAGTGTTAAGTTTACTATATATAGAGATGTGAATTTACAGCAAGAACCCTGGTTTGAACAACTGCTCTGAAAATAGTAGCTAACCTGTAAATGGCAAATCTTTTAGGAAAAAAAGAGAAAGGTAAGGGCTCTTTTGAATAAATTGCTGTTTTATTTGCAGCACAACTGATCGATCTTGGAAATTCTTTAGGTACTTTTAATAAGAAACAAATTTATCATTTCTTGCCAGAATTTGCTACCATAAAATGACTGGGATAGTTCTGTTGCAAGAACATTAAGATTTAGTGTGGCTCCTTTTTACTATATTCTTGCAGTTAATAACTGCAGCTATTATGTTAATAACTTGTTGATATTTTATTTTTGTTTATACCAATCTTAAAGATGCAGGTTCTGAATTAAAAAAAATGGAATTTATATAATTAATGTGTATTGGGGTTTGGAACTAAAAAGTAGTGTCAAAAGTACTGGGATTGTGACCTGTTTCTTACACTTCTTGTTCATACCTGTATTCCGCAGTTAACTTTAAGATGTCCTAATAATCTTTAAAAGAAAAACATTGTACTGTTTTAAAAATTACCCTTTCAGTTATTTTTTGTGTTTATGTTCTGTTCTTGTTATATATAATCAGTAGGGATGATGTCAAACTGGGGTCCCTATCGTCCAAGGCCCCATTTCCAACTTTGCAGAAAGTTCTTTGTTTAGGTTTGCCTACAGATAATTGAGTGCCATTAATGCAAGCCGGTCCCTTAAGTTGCTGATTCCCAGCCTGAGGGTATACCCTTTCCACCTTATTGAGTCTGCTTCCTGGAAAGCATCCTTGTCTCCTTAGTACTTCATTTATAAACTACCTCTTAAAAGCGGTTGCTTTCCAAATTATCCAGTATTAAATCATTGCATTTTCAAAATGTGACATTTTCAGGAGTATATTGTTTCTTGAAACCAGTAGCTCTTATGCGCTGACATAGTTTATAGACCTTAGTTTGGGGAAAGTATAGGAATAATAATTTATGCTGCTGTCCTAGAGAGGAGATTACACGATGAATATAGATTGTCTTTAGAGTTAAGAAACATTCAGATTCCTGTAAATTTAGCACTTTGAGTTAGTAGATTTATATATACCAAGGGGATTTTAATTTTTTTTCCACCAACCTTAGGAAATTTATTTTTTAACATGAGGAGAAACTTGGTTCTGCTTTATATGAATAGTAGAGATCCTTCGTACAGTAAGTGCTTCTGCCTATTGCCAAAAGTTTCTGGGACTTATCCATAATTAAGCTCTTAGGATTATCTTAGGGTAGGCCCAGTTTACTACTTAGAAATAGTTAGCTAAATTTCAAGAAAAAACAAATCTTGTTTTGAGACTGACGATTGTATTCATAAATAATAATACTTTCTTTTTAAATTACTTAGTTTGCCAATTCCTTTTCTCCTTGAATTTAGAAGCAGCAATTACGGAAAAACTTAGTAATCTTTCTCTTAATCTGTAAACTTACACAGGAAGAATTAGAGTTTAATAACTTTTAATTCTTTTATTGTATTTTTATTATAGCAGTTTGGTAAAAATATCTTCAAAATATTTTATCAGTTTTATTCAATAGTCTCTGAGGTGATTCTTTCTAATTTTAAAAGACTGATTTTAATCAAGAATTCCTAAGCCTCCAGTCTGATTTGTTTTACTCACCAGTTAAATTAATTCCATAAAAATTCTACTTGTTGAAACCATGATATAAGGATCTTGGGCCTTAAAGCTTCTTTTTTGTGTAGTTTTCAAAATTTCTTTCATCTTTTAAAATGTTTCTAAGATAAAATATTACCTTCCCTGTGAATATTCCTAATTTTCTTTTATAATAGTCAGTGTTTCTCAGGTTTTGTTTTGTTTTGTTTGGGGTTTTTTGTTTGTTTGTTTTTTTATGGGGCAACTACCTTAGAATAAATTGGAGGTCTTACTTTTACATTTCAAATTTGGGGCCATACTCCCAATCATTCTCAGTTGGTCATTTGGGAATGAGGCCTAGATGACGTTTATGCCCAGTAAAATCTAAGAACCTCTGTCTAGGACTTTGTTTTTCTTACCATGAATACCTTAGGAAATAAAAACTAATAGGCCACTATAATATAAGTAAGTACTCGTTTGTTACTTTTCTAAGAATATTTCACTTTGTATTATCAGACTTTTGACTAGTTTTAATAGTTGCCATCCTTCTTCCAAAAGAAGCCCTCTGTGAAAAATATTTTGTGATGCAATCCTTATAATTGTGCTTTCCAAGTTTTACAATGATATTTTGAAAGGATAGTTCTTATGAGGAGTAATATCCTCACAGCTTTTAACATGAACATTTGCATAGTTTATTTTATCAAGACAAACCTGGTACTTAATGTAAGAATTCACGAAAGAAGCTATTTAGGGTACTCTTGAAGACAAGATTTTTACCTTTTGCCTACAGTAAGGAAAGTCATGGCAATAAATGACCTGGTAATAGTTATCATGCCTAAAATTCTTATTTTTTTCAGCTTTCATTAAAACCCTGCATATCTGGCATACCTTGGGCCAAACTCTTGCTGGTGTTTGATTTGTCGTCCTCTGCTTATTTTTTAAGTTGTCTGAATTATCTGACTTCATAAGTTAAGTCTTCTTTAAAATTGTGCTTCATTAAAAGTGTACGTTTTAATATATTTAATTAAGAACTGATGTATTGACTCAGGTTTGATTTCTCAAGTTATTAGACACAAATCAGGAGAAACACATTTAAGGCAAATTACTAAGGAAATTTAAGAATATGGGTTTAAGACTGTAATACAAAAGGATGTACTTGAGTTTAAATCTCAGATCCATCATTTAAAAGCTATGCATACAGCTGTCCTTATCATGTCTTGGGGAGTTTTTCCAACCCAAACCAAATTCTCTGGATTGCTAAGTGATGTTGGTAAATTCTGACTTCTCAAAAGTAATTAAAAGAGAGGTGAAACTTTTGAGGCTAAAAAAAAACAAGATCTGGTTATATTAGTAATATAATTCAAAAAATTAAAAACTCACTTTAAAAAAATAAATAGTAATATTCAAATTCACATAATAAAGGTGGAGAAGCTTTTGATGTTAAAGCATAGAAAGAATTAAGTTCTGAAACAATTCACAAAATTGTAAGCCAATGGGGTCTTAATTGGAAGGGATCATTTAACTCTTTTATTTATATACTCTAAGTAATATAAAATGCAAAAATATTTTAATAAATTATTAGAAATCATGTAGGAAGAGTTCAACTGATTTAGTTTAATCATAATACATTGTTTCCATATCCAGAGGAAACAAGAACTAAATGCCTAAGACTGTGCTGTAGCTCAGCTGACTCATTATTTGAACTAAAGTAGACAGCATGCCATGAATGAAAACCAGATAAAGCAAAGATTGATTTATTCTTCCACTTCTATGGATAAGAACATGTCTGTGTAATTCACACTTATATTAGAAAAGAAAGCTGCAAATCTACTGGCAGAGAAAAAATGGAAAATATACCCTAAGTACAGTAACAATTTACCTGTGACCACTGACAGGTAACTAGCTTTGCATGAGTTAATTTTTCATGTAACTGAGGCAAATCCATTTAATCATAACATTTTTATTTAATAGTGAATAGGAAAATTTCTAGAATGTACCATATTTTTTTTCTGGAATATTCAGGATCTTAATTTAACTTTGTCATGTTTAAGAATATCAGTTCCTATCACAGGGTGATAAGTAGAAATGCACCCGCAGGGGCTCCTGCAATAGATGAGGTTATAGGTCCTTTTTCTCCAAGGTCCTGCAATGCTGTGCTTTAGAGCCATGTCTAGTTTTCACAGCTTCTCTATCTTCCCTCAAAATCAGTTGTCACTTTTTGTTTTGCTGCTGTCTTGGGTGCCTGCCTCTTGCACTAAGCCCTTAATTTGCTGCTTCTAATCTGCCATGATCTGAGAAGCCAGGTTGTCAACCTTGCTAGAATTGTAAAGTAAGAGTAAGTAGACTGAGAGAAGGCTAAGGGGCTTTTCTGTCAGTTAAGTGCATGGACTTTGTGGTACCTGTTTGGCTGCTTAGCATACTTTTGTTTGCCTCTTCATTACTTACTAAGAACTTGCTAAAAATAGTTGGTTGAATATATATGATTGCCATATATTTAAAGTATTAATTCAGTTTTTATATGTTGATGTTTCTAGGACTCGCCATTAATGAATTCAGCTATAAAAGAAAATTCGACTATTATCTTTGTACAAATCATTGTGTATATTTTAGGAAAATGTTAATGTTTTGTTCTTGTTGATTGTTCCTAGTATAGGACACAGACTGAAAACTTAGAACATTATAAATGTGACTCTAACTCTGTTTTACCAAGATTTATATTCTAGAAGTATAGGCTTGAGACTAAATATGCATGGCTAATTTAGTAAGAACTGGCTTAGTATTTGGAGAATGATGCATTCTAGATATCCCAGTTTTCTATAGACCTTAACCCCTTTAAGCATTAAAAGTTTTTGGAATAATTTCTGAAGGTAATCCTTTTAAACCAGTATGCATTGCTGTCTTATTAAACAATATATGAAAATCATTTTAATCTTTTTGATGTCAGAATGATCATTATTAACAACAGTTATTATACTGTAATAGTCTAACTAGGCCCTGAGAGCTATATGCCCTTTTACTAAATGGCTCCATTCTGCTGTGCTTTTTTCATCTTGTCTTTGTTTTCTGTTAGTTCTGATTTCTCCAGTTCCTGCAATTTCTGCTTGCTTAAGTGTGCCTGTAGCAATGGCCTTTCTCTACCTTCTTAATGCTCCTTCAAGTCTGCTTTGGTTTTGGAAACCAGGTAACTAAGATAGCTAGAGTAATGTATAAAGGAGGAGTACATCGACTCAGTGAAGACCTAAAAAACTGAATTGTACCTAAACATGGATTCCGTGGATATCTGTTCCTCACTACCTATTTCATTGCTATCTTTAAAATAAGTAAAGTTACTAAATTTGAAACCGGCTCTCAAAATAGAAGAGCTGTTTTTGTACAAGGGGAACCATTTCATTTCCATACTTTACCTTCTTTATATTCTACTGTTTAATTTTTTGACTCTGATTAAAACCAGTCCACTCAAATGAGCATTTTCTATAGTACTCTCTAAATGAATTGGATGCCACAATGCTGCTAAGAATTTATTTGGTTAGTTTGGTTTTGTTGTTATTTTGGTTTTGTTTTTAGAGAGATGCATCTTCATTTCTGAAACACAAAGTAGGTTGAGTCCTGGGAAATAAGAAAACTTTCATCACTGATATCCCAGAGAGATGAGAAGTAATAAGGTTTTTAGGCTCTAGGCAGTTTCACCCCAAGTAAATTGTTCTTTGTGCAGAATTTCTAAGATGGTATCTTTATTTTCTTTCAATGAAATGTATCTTAAAAGTTTGCCAAAAGTTATCAGTGTTAGATCTAGTGATATTGACAGGTATTTGAATGACTAAATTCCCAGTGTCATTCTTTTTTGCGTGTTTAAATTATCATTTAATATGTTAAATAAGCATGATGATTTTTCTCTCTTGAATGAAAAATAAACATGAAATTTGCATGTTATAATGTTTGCAAGTAAAATTCAAATCTGTCTAGAAAGGGATATCCTGGCTTTGAATAACTTAAGTCAAAAGGCTGATTATGTTTTAGTCCATATGTTGATTCATCCACCCATCATATGCAGGGTAATTGGAAAATCAGTCTGTGGCCATGAGTCATCACCTAACATTATTCATATGCTACTGGAAGGGACTTATGATATAATATTCATTTAAAAATAGATGATCCAAACTTGTTTCTTGAGTTGAGACTGCCATTACAGAACAGTCATGATGCCAAACCTTGGTTAGTGCTACGACTTGAGTATGGTCACGAGAGGAAAGTGATTCTACTCAGTGTAATTGCTATAAATCAAAAAAAGGATGAGTTGATTCCAGGATTCACATATACATATACAAAAGCATAACATGAAGGAGGAGTTGATTTTATGGAAATCCTAAAATGTGTGATAAATTAAAATGCATATGGTATTTTTTAAATTCTGTACATTTTAACCTCAGCAATTAAGTTAATTTCTTTCATCTCTATTTACTGAAATTCACTCATCACATGGCAGTTCTTGAAATAGGACAATACTTAAGTTGTGTATGCTTCTGACACACTGTTTTTCAAAGTGAGTATATTCTATGAGTCATTGTTGTAGAAATATTTCCCCAATCTGTATCTTAAGAGTTTCTCAAGATAAGGGATAATTCTACTGTTTTGAACTTTACATTTTTCACTTTTACAGCATTTCGTAAAGGTTGGCTGTCTACAAATGAGTTTATTTCATCTTTGAACATCTTTTCTAAAACTGAAGCATGTCTTTTGCAAGTTTATTTTTTAGGATATACTAAGAAATGCAATATCTTCTTTTCTCCCTCCCAAGTAAATTTAAAAATTAATTCCATTTTTAAGTCAAACTTATTTTCTGCACAGTACTAGCACTTGGCAATGTACAGAAAACTCCAGAAATATCATTCCCTTTCCTTAAAGATTGCTGTATGGTCCTGATACAGCCCTGGAGGTCCATATGGGTGAAAAGCCCAGAAGTCAGCCCAGCTGAAAGCACTCCCAAGGAGTTTGGTTTTGTTTGGGTTTGTTCTAGGTATGGTCCCAGGGATCCCAGATCAAACCAGGCCCCTGGGCCTATCCTAGAACCAACCTAAACTCGCGCATCATTCCTGGAACATCAAGAGTGTGAAGACTGAAGAGAACCTGAGGCTGACTAGACATCCTGCGTTCACCAAAACTCACTTTTCTTTGTATGTGTGCCAACAGTTAGCAAAAATTGGTTGGTTAATCCTTCTAAAATTAGAGGAATAACAGTGGATAGCAAGATAAAGTCTACCAGACTTTGATATTATAGTAAAATTTATCACAGTAGAAATATGATATGTAATATGGTTATTATTGCTGGTAGGAGAATTGTTATTGTAACTTACCAGATCTTTATCTCTATTTTATGATTAGACAATTTAGCCATGAAAAAAATTTCTCCCCCAAATCCATGGTTCTGTTTTTCTCACTTTCTTCAACAGTCTCATTGAATTGTGCGTAGTTTCTGAAAGGCATTTGGTCTTTGCCCTGTAACTCCAATGCTAAATAATTTTAAACGTTTGTTTCTGGAGACCAATGCCTTTTTCTTATAATCTTCTTGAATCCACTATATCACTTCGAGCTTGCTTTTTTAGGTTCAGGTCTGGGAAGAACCTAAGCATCATTTGTAGACAGCAAGTCCTTTGTCAGATTTATTGTAAGCTACATTTCAGAATCGGCTCTGGTTGATGGAAACAGGCTAGAGTGGTAGAGTGGAAATGGATCAATACTTCACAGATTGCTAAAGTATTTTGCAGAATAAGGTTTTTTGGTAAATTTATTTTTGTACCCTGCTGCTCTGGGGTTTTAAAAGATTCTGACCTACTTGATTCATCATACGGTCTCACATCATAACTATGACGTTGCTAATTTATTTAATTTGAGGACAGGCTTTCTGAAGAGGCTTGAAAAGACCCCAAATCCACAGGTTATGCTAGACAATGGAAATGTATACTTTGGTAATACTGACATTTAATTGGATTTAGACTATGTTTGAAATAATTGCAGACAATCAGACAATTTCACTCCCAACTGTGAAAAGAGCCCCAAACTGTGCTATTCCTTCAGGCCTTGTCACCAGAAAAATTGCATCAATGAGTTATCCTTTAAAATAGGACTATGAGGTTGAGGCCCATTCTGAAGAATTCAACCCTGGGATTAATACTCTGCTACATTCATCACATAGATGATTCATCCCATCGATTCTATTATTTTTGCCTTTTAAAACATACTGTGTTTACCCTTCTCAATATTTTCCTGTTTGCATAAATCAAACACTATACATGTTAGTATATGTGTATTTTGTGGATATAACAATAGACTGGATCGAGAGATCTTTAGATTTTGATTCCTTTTAATGTCAGATGATTTAAATGCATTTACTGTCTTGTAAATTCACTCAATTTATGCCTCAATTTGTCAGATTCATTTTTTTTCTAATGAACTATATTGGAATAAGATAGGTGAGCCTTCTATCAATATCTTCCAAAACTTATGACATTTTGCATTCACTCAAGCATGAAAATGTTCTGACATCAGCAGTCTTGTATCTGTGTGGTAATCTGTGAGCATAGGTAACTATTTCTTGACATAGCCTGAAATGTATGAATCCATCTATGTTTATGTACAGTAAGTGTTCTCGGTATTTGGAGAGCATCTACATTCTCTCAACAAAGTTCAGGCTTGTTTACATAGTAAGTTTCTAAAGTCAGTCTTCATTCTTAATTTAAAACTGGGGTGTTAACCTGTATTTTTTTAAAATATCCTTTAAGAATATTCTCTCAGCGGTATTTTAATTTTTACCTTTTGACTACTTATATTTTATGTAGAACTGTACATTTCCTACCCACCTGAAGAGTTGAGGTTATAACCTTTCCCGTCAATACTTTCTTTGATCACTTGATGTATTTTATCATATCAAATTTCTAAAGGATTTTTACAAGAACAAACAGGTTTGTATATGTCTGTATTATTGTTCCTCCTAAGCTTAACAAGTCTCTAATAAAATCTGTACTGCTTAGTGTCTTCTATGTGTATGCTTTTTTTACTCTGGTGTTTGCAACATGAATTAACCAAAAGGTAAAAATTCCTTTTCTTTTTGTCTCCATTTTTCTTCTATTACAGTATTTTCCAGAATCTGTTAACATACTGACAAAAGATAGCAGTGTTTTTAGCAAAGCTGTGATTCATTAGTCTAAGTTTGGTCATAAAAGTGCCTCACATGATAATTTATCAGAGTGAAAACAGCAGATGAATTTTAAAAGCTCCATTTTCACCCTTCTCAGTGAATGTCAGCCATTGTATACATTCTAATCAGGTCATATTTGTTGACTTATATGACCTCCCTGACAGAAAAAACATACTGAATTCAGAAGACCATTAACATCCAATGGACCATATTTTGTCCTATGTAATTGAATGAATTACTGGTTTGAGTCATTCTAAGCTTGGCTAGAACATTCATGGTAACTCCAGAATGGCATTGCAGACTGAGTGCTAGTTAAAAAGAAAGTGGCCTTCCTTGAACTGAACTTTTATTTATTTATTCATTTGTTTTACTATTGCAAAAAATATTTAACAAAAAAGTTCTATATGAAAATGCACACGACCTGATTTTTATATTGTGGAAAAGCAGGCAGTACGGACAGGGGACATGTGGAAGCAGTTCATTTCTTCCAGTTGAACACCCCCATTGTTTATTTTCTTCATATTCCCACCATTCCAGTAACGTTTGTTGCCCACTACCTGCCACCTCCATACATTCATCTATCACAAGATTCATAAAGGGATTGAATCCCCACCCCCCACACACAATATTGGACCCGTCACTACCATTTAATTTCAGTGATAATTTATTGTTTGTAAATTTTCTCAACCCTTGAGGGTAAGCTTAGCTCATGGTGTCCTGTCAGCAAGCTCAAAGATGCCTCATATGGATGGGGGCTGAAATTTTAAATAGATTAGCTACCTCTTTCCAGAAAAGATTTGAAGCAAGACACAAGCATTCATAAAGGCAATTCTTGAAATGTGGTCCTTGCCTGGGATTTACTAATTGAAAGTGTGAGAAAGTTGAGTATGTATAGTTACTCTAGTGAATCCTGAAGTCCTTGGGTAGGAAATATCCTGTGTAATAATCACTCCTTGTCTTCACAATTTGCTTTTGAAGGTCTTCAGCCGATGTGCTATAACCATTGAAAATAAAGTTGGCAAATACTAATTTTCCCCGAATGTACATCTGTAAAAATTAATATAGAACATTTTCAGAATATTCATATGAAAATCAGTCCTACTTCTTTTTTCTCAGCTTGTTTTGTTTTTAATTTTAAGTAAGCTTTATGTCCCACATGGGGCTTGAGCTCATGACCCCAGATCAAGAATCATGCTCTACAAACAGCCAGGCACTTCTTTGAAGAAAGAGGTTAAATGTGTCCCTATGAGAAAATGTTTACATTTATATACAAAAAATATTGGGCATCAAACATGTTCCTAGAACTTGAATATATTGTTTGAAGGTAGGAAACAGGCTCAGTTTTTTTCACTCCAAGCTGTACACCTGGAATGTCAGGACCAGTATCCTCCCCAGCTGTGAAAGCTTTCACATCAGCTGCCGGCAGATTCATTTCATTTTACAGCCAAACTAGGACAGTACAGAGCGCTTGAGCAGACTTGGATTACGGACAAAACTACTATAAAACTCAGGCAAATCATTTAACCATATCAAGGTACAGTTTCCTCTGTTTAAAAACAAATTATGAATTGGACTCGACCTCTAAAATTCTCTTCTGGGGCTATAATTCTCAGATTCTCTATTTTTTAATGAAGAGTTACAACTCCGGGTGGCTTAGCGGTTTAGTGCCACCTTCAGCCCAGTGCCTGATCCAGGGGTCCTGAAATCGAGTCCCACGTCGGGCTCCCTGCATGGAGCCTGCTTCTCCCTCTGCCTGTGTCTCTGCCGAGCTCTGTGTGTCTCTCATGAATAAATAAATAAAATCTTAAAAAAAAACAGAGTTACAACTCTATGTAAAGCCAAGTTTGTCATTCTACTCCAGGATGAAAGGGACTGTTTATGGCACAGGTGAGCAGCCTAAGAAATAACCTTAAGATTAAGAGGATGAAAAGGCGGGGGGATGGGGGGGGCACCTCGTGGTTCAGTTGGCTAAGCAGCTGCCTTCAGCTCAGGACAGGATTTCAGGGTTCTGGGATCGAAAGCCTCATCAGGCTCCCTGCGCAGCACAGAGCTTGCTTCTCTCTCTCCCTCCGCCCGTCCCCAGCCCACTCCTGCATGTGCCTCTCAAATAAAATCTTAAGGGGGAAAAAAAAGGTGGTAGGGGTGGAAAATGGTAGTTAAGTATAGCTGGTTCCAGCTAAGAATTAAGTATTTTTTTACATCTTTTTTTAAAAAGATTTTTATTTATTTGATGGAAAGAGAGAAAAGCACAAGCAGGGGTAGTGGCAGGGAGAGGGAGAAGCAGGCTCCCCGCAGAGCAGGGAGCCGCATTTAGGGCTCCATCCCAGAAGTCTGGGATCATGACCCGAGCCAAAGCAGACTTTGCTTCATCATTTCTAATCAGTGATGAGACGCAAACACGAGTAAAGATTTTTGTGAAGAGGTAGGAGTTCCGGAATGGCAGCATGAGGACTAATGTAAATCTGCTCCTCCATAAAAGGAACAAAATGATGGCAAGAATCATCAAAATCAACTTTTTCAGAACTCTAGGCATTAGTAAAAGGCTCACAATGATTTGAAGATCACTTATTAAAATAAAAAAAACAACTGTTGAACCTCAGTAAGAACAGGGGCTTTGTGAATTTAGTAGATGACCTCTCAGTAGAGAGGCAGAGACACACCACCACGCTAACTGAGCTGACTTCAGTGATGTAACTATACAGGGAATAGAGACTTTGAAGACTTAGTCAAGGGATGTCACTAAACACAAACAAACAGCAATAACAACAAATAGCAACAAAAACAAAGTCCGGGGAGGAGAGTAGAGTCTGACATTCAGAGTTGTCACAATAGATTATGCCTACTTAACAGTCCTCATTGTATATTCTTGTCTTCTAGGTCTTAGATTAATTGACCACATAAATGTCGGTTTACTTCCAGGCTCTCTATGCTGTCCTACTGATCTATGTGTCTATTTTTGTGCCAGGGCCATACTGTTTTGATCACTACAGCTTTGCAGAATATCTTGAAATCTGTGACTCGTGATATCTTCAACTTTGTTTTTCCTTCTCAGGATTGCTTTAACTATTTGGGGCCTTCTGTGGTTCCATGCAAAATTTTAGTATTATTCTCTAGTTTTGTGTAACAACGGAGTATCACACAGCCATAAGAAGGGATAAGAATGTGCCATTTAAGAGGATATGGATGAACCTAGAGGGCATTATGCTAAGTGAGCTTAACCAACTGAGCTGCCCAGGCACCCCTCAGCAACAGAAGAATCTATGTCTTATTTCATATCTTGTTCCTTGATCTGAAACTCTTTATTCTTTAGTACATGCCTGGCTATTAGCCATGATGCCACTTACTTATCTTGCCTAAACTTAGAAGGTGAAGCTATGACACATTGGTCATGAGAGCTAATGACATAATTACTATACAAAATACATGGTACACTGAGATCTAAAGAATTAACAGTGGTAATCCCTTTAACTGGGACATAGGGTGACTTTTAGGTTTCTTTCACCTAAAATACTTGTATAATAGGAAATACTTGTATAATAGGGGAAAAGAGTATAATTTAAGAAATTGGTAAGTTGAAGGTGTGTAGGATTTCACAATTAGTTTGGACTTCTATTCATATATAAGAAGAAAGTTTATCATTCTGTGTTTATCCAAGCCATCTCCTCTTAGGCTAACCCTGGGGCCTAGAGAAAAGGAGACAAGGCTGCAGTGTTCAGTTCTTGCAAAAATAATGAGAATACAGAAGAATGTTGGATTGGAAAAAACAAAAACATTACATTTTTATGTACAGAGGCCAGGGTAGGATCAGACCCGGTACCAAAATTGAAATTTTTTTCTTTTCTTTTTTGTTTTTTAAATTTTTCTTACTGAAATTGTATTGAGTCAAAGTGCAGTTGAAACTCAAAACCTGGAATAATCTAATCCAGAGGTGCCCAGCATTTTATCAAATAAGGACTCCTGGTATTTTTCCCATGGGTACCACATTTTGAAGAATTTTTTAATCTATCACATAGTCTATATTAACTAAAACACTATAGGATGTACCCTCTCTCTTGTATTTTAACTCACCAAGGCTATAATGGCCATTCAGTTTGAGTGTGTGCCACATGCCAGGCACTGTTCTCAGTGCTAAGGAGAGAGCAGTGGACAAGGTTTCTGCCCTCAGTGAATCCTATAGGGGAGAGCCAGACGATGTATCAGGAGTTGGGGGGTGTTAAATACTATACAGAAAACAAAGCCAAGGAAGAGGGATATAGAGGATGACAAGTACTTCTTTGTACAGGGCAGTCATTTCCCCAGAGGCCCCAGTGTTTAGGATCCTTATTACTCATCAGAAGATTGGTATGAGAATCTTTTTGCAAAAGCCCTTTATAAACTGAGAAGATATTATTATCTTGTGGGATCCAGGCTGTCCCACTTAACCTGGTTGTGGTGACAGTTTAAGTGCTTTTTTTTTTTTTAAAGATTGTATATTCATGAAAGACAGAGAGAGAGAGAGAGAGAGAGAGACATAGACAGAGAAAGAAGGAGACTCCTCACAGGAAGCCCGATGTGGGACTCAATCCCAGGACCTCAGGATCACACCCTGAGCCGAAGGCAGACGCTCAACCACTGAGCCACCCAGAGGTCCCGAGCTTAAGTGTTTAAACCACATTGATTATACCATCGTTCCAGCAATTGAATGGAACAGAATGGAAAGACTTGTCCAAACAACTCAAATCAAGCAAACAGTCCGTGATTTGTTGTCTCAAACTAAATATACTAGCCTTGAGGTAACCAAATATTGACCTAATAACTAAAAGCAGAGATTCTAACTACCCTCTAACGTAGTCACCACTTATTCTTAATGAACCTGCCCAAGATGCCTCCAGATGGCAACTCTTTCATTTAAATAGAGACCAGATGAGGGATACGTGTTAGTGGAATAAGGCGACCTCCAAAACACTCTCTCCCAAGAAAAAGTCTCATTTATAGAAAAAACAAAGAGGAGGCCATTTCCTGTTCTACTTGCCCCGGCCCCTGTATTACATCCTAATGCTGCTAACAGACTCTGCATTTTTCCTATTTTGGACTCTGAGTCGGGATACCTGGGTTCAAATCTCAGCTCCACCTCTTAGCTGTGTAAACAACTTGAGGTCTCAGTTTCCTTATCTGTTCAATGGAAACATCTATTTTTTTTTAAAGATTGTATTCATGTATTTGAGAGAGAGAGAGCACGAGCGAGGGGAGGGGCCGAGGGAGAGGGAGAAGCAGACTCCCCCCTGAGCAGGGAGCTCAACGTAGGGCTCCATCCCAGGATCCCAGGATCATGACCTGAGCCGAAGGCAGATGCTTAACCGACTGAGCCACCCAGGGGCCCCAAATGGAAACATTTAACAGCGCATCATCACCTCATGGGATTGTTACCAGGATTCAGGGAATTAGTTATGTGAAAAGGTTACGATTCACAACTGGTATTCTTTACCCTTGGGTCTCCAGTATCTATCTATATCTCTCTCCCCCCCCCCACCCTCTTTCCCTCTTTCCTGGGAAATTCCTACCTTATAGAAATGCCTGGGCCTTGCCAAAGGCTGGGGCAAGACTTGACTGATAAATGAAAGGGGCAAAGCAAAGTAAAAATGGGTTTGGCATTCCTGATGGGAGGAATGGTGAGTGTTCATTCACTCAGTCAAATAGTATTTATTGAAAATCATTTTTTTCCTTTAGGTTTATTTAGGGATCCCTGGGTGGCTCAGTGGTTAAGCACCTGCCTTTGGCCCAGGGCGTGATCCTGGAGTCCCGGGATCAAGTCCCGCATCGGGGTCCCTGCATGGAGCCTGCTTCTCCCTCTGCCTGTGTCTCTGCCCCCCTCTCTCTTTCTGTCTCTCATGAATAAATAAATAAATCTTTTTTTTTTTTTTTTTTTAAGATCCGGGGACTGGGATCACAACCTGAGGGGAAGGCAGACACTCAACCGCTGAGCCACCCAGGCATCCCAGTATTTACTGAAAATCTACTTGGGGCTCCTGTTGATAGAACATGTGACTTGATCTCAGGGTTGTAAGTTT